GAAGTGTCTTCAAATGAAAATAAATAAGTAATAAAAAAAAAAAAAAAAATTCCAAACATTTTATAATCAGAATTTTAAAATATTCAAATTCTGATTATTCTGTGAGCAATTTGTTTTTGCTCACAGAATAATGGAATAGAGTATTTTCTTTACTGTTTTATGCTGCATCACCTCAAATGGAGTAGGAGGCTTTACTGTAAGTGGAATCAGTGAAGTGTCCCTGCTGCAGGAGCAGAGCTTATAGAGACGCCCGGCGCTGCCAGAAGAACATGATCAAATCAAGGTGTTATTGGGAAATGTACTCTCCGGACAGTAGGAGGGATTTAACTGCTGACTCAGCCTCGATTGGTCAGGAGCACTGTGTCACTCGAGTTCAGGCTTAAGGACAAGTGTGACTAACCAGAAAGATCATGGAATGTTGGGGATTAAACGCTGCTGCAACATATATTGCTTCCATGTTTGGGCGAAACACTCTCTAAAATCTTCCCCATGTCTTTCTGAAAAGCTAAAAACACATTTGGTGTAACATAAATTAGTATCTCTTGTTGGTCTGGATGATAAAATAGGCTGATAATGTTAGCATTCAACAACTACAGCTCTTATGCAGGGCTGCCATTGACCCCAATTCCTCCCACTCTCTATGTACTGCGTATGCATTCTGTTTCTTACCCACAGCGCACTACGCATGATACATTCCTAGTTTCATTTCAATTTTACTATATTTTGCCTGGAGCCCCAGAAAACAACCACCTTTTGTGGAATGTATATATACCCTGCCTCACTTTTTTTTGTGAAATAGATTCTGGAAATTGTACAAATACATATTATTTAGAAATATGCCACATATGAATACTTCTAATGCTACAGGAGGTATTAGCTCACCTAGAGATAAGTAGTCAACATAAATGGGTCTTTTTTTTGTACTGTTCTGCTGTCAGGAATACGTTTTGTAAGGGAGTAGTTGTAAGAAATTAGGGTTAGGGTTTGTTTTTAACTTATTTGACCACTGGGCCTTTTTCGCAATTTAAGATTTGAAATCCAATAGCAGCAAAGGCATAGGTGTATTAATGACATTTAAAATCACTGCACCGTATGGAACAAAGCAGTAACATCATTAGTTATTTAGTGCCAAACATACTGAACAGTCTGCAGCAACACTTTTTTGCGATTGAATGGCAAGGCTGACGATATTTTTTAAATGTTTGTGTATAAAGCCAACAAAGCCAAGCATGTTCCTACTGAAGCTCATCAAGACATACATTGTTTTTTAAAGAGGTTAAGTAATTCCGTAGTAAACTGGGCGTTGGACCACATGCAGTGACAATGCTTACATGCACACTACTATTAGAACTCTTACAGTAAACCAAATGTTACGGGTGATGTGAACTGCATATTCTGTTTGGATATTTCCAATCGTGCTTGATTTTCGAATGAAGACATGTGGGATATGCAAATGACTATTATTCAGGTTTTAGGAGTGTTCTTTGAACATGGATACAGAGCATTCAGAATATGAGAAGTTGTTTTTTTAACCACAGTTTGCTACTTTTAATATATGTGACACCGATCCAGACACATTTGTAATGATTGGTTTTATTTGCAGGGGTTGCACGTGAACGGCCAGCAATTTGAAAGAGCAAAGTCATGGTATTGGTTTGCAGATTTTAGAGACTGGGTTGGTCACTTGTAAAATTCTGTATTGACATTCAAATCAGTCCTTTTTGCGATTATAGCATTTTTCCAAAAAGGAAAATCAGGAGATGCTGATGTATATTGGGTGTTTGGACCATTCTTTAAATTATGCATATATCTCATTCCAAATAAGAGCCTCAAGTTGGGTTTGAAAATAGTTTTCATCACTTAAACCACCTTGCCTGTTTACGGTCATCTCTGTGCAACAGACTCAAACTGCCTAACCAGCAGTTTGCAAGGCTGGTGTCCAAATGCATGCTCCCCCCCAAAAAAACACATTTCTAATCGGAGGTGGAACTAAAGATTTGTAACATCCTTTTATAAACCTTTTAAACGTTATTAAATGCTGTGATATACCAACTGTTTTTTGGAATTGCACAAATATGGCAATGCATAGAAGGTGGCAGTATGAAAGAGGGGACCCGACAGTGAAAAACTTGTAAACAACTCAAGGGAAATGTGTCTTTTTCGGATAAAGCCGAAAAACTGAATTGAAGTGAACCGGCTGTGAATTGTGGGTTTTTGGTTATTTCATTGGATTTGTCGACAATAGGAAACATATAGAACATTCCCATCCTTGTTGTTTGATATTTGTTGATGGTATTTTTTTTATCATTGACCCAAAAGCCAATCAAAACAAAAAATGGCACCAAAAATGCTTAGACCCTTATTATTATACTAACTTAGGTAAAGAAAACCAATGATAGTCTTCTTTATTTTTGGGAATGTTTGTAGCCAAGACCAATTCAATCTGTGTACGATGTGTTGGTATGTTCTATATTCCTCACACTCGTCTGTGTTGTTTTCTACTTGTCCTCTACTAGGTTACAGTATTTTTGAAGCCCTTGTCCTACTGCAGATATTACACAATCAATTTGCAGATTGTGTGTGGGGAAGCGAAGGGTAAGTGACACTTCAGCATGGGGAAAAAAACCTGCAAGATTTACACCACACCAAAAGTAGCAAGATAACTTTTCCAGGCACATTTGTTTGTGAAATGCATAAATGAGGTGCTATAAGAAAGGAAGAACTGGAGTTATTTTGTTTCGGAGAGCGGGGAAGGAAGCAGTTAGCAACTTTCAACCAACAGAGGCAAACAGCAGTGTGTGTGTGTGTGTGTGTGGGTGTGTGTGTGTTGGTGTGTGTGTGTGTGTGTTGTGTGTGTGTGTGTGTGTGTGTGTGTGTGTGTGTGTGTGTGTGTGTGTGTGTGTGTGTGTGTGTGTGTGTGTGTGTGTGTGTGTGTGTGGTGTGTGTGTGTGTGTGTGTGTGTGTGTGTTGTGTGTGTGTGTGTGTGTGTGTGTGTGTGTGTGTGTGTGTGTGTGTGTGTGTGTGTGTGTGTGTGTGTGTGTGTGTGTGATTTGTAGAGGACACTTCTGTGTAGCATGCAGTGGAGTCACCGACTCAGGAAGGAGACACGGGAAGAGTCGGAGCTTTGATGTCAAACCACTGTGATTTATTTGGAGTTGGTACCAGAGGATTCACATCACAAATCCAAGAGTCAGAGGTTCTGACTCCACGGTAGAGTTGCCACGTCAATTCTGGAGAGCCTCTCTCTTGCCAGCCCATCTAACTGGTTTCGCAGAGAGTAAACAACATATTTGAGGAGATAGCCTAAACAGTGTGGGAACACAGAGCTACTTGCCTCGGACACTTATGACCTCGAAGATTTTACCTTGGAGTCCACAAATACAGAGAAGGAAGTGTCCCAGTGTACCCATAACACAGACCATCTGTATCCCAGTATTGACCGGTCACAGAATGGGAACAATAACATTATTGGCTAAGCCGCCTGTGTCCTTAAAGGAGGTAAACAGACATCAAGGTTTGTCCTGTATGTTACTAATTGGCGTCTTATGATAATTATTTCCACAACGTGTGTGTGTGTGTGTGTGTGTGTGTGTGTGTGTGTGTGTGTGTGTGTGTGTGTGTGTGTGTGTGTGTGTGTGTGTGTGTGTGTGTGTGTGTGTGTGTGTGTGTGTGTGTGTGTGTGTGTGTGTGTGTGTGTGTGTGTGTGTGTGTGTGTGTGTGTGTGTGTGTGTGTGTGTGTGTGTGTGTGAGAACATGACTCTGAGGGAGAGAGCTGACACATAATGAGGTGCAAGAAAAAGCCTTCATTCTGCATTGTACGGGCAACAAAATAATAATAATAATAATAATAATACCAGCCGTGACTAGAGGCAGGGAAATCCAATTACTATAGCTATTACTCCCTCTGCTGGTGGACAGCCAAGAGGGACAATAGAAGTGATTTGCTCCAACTTTACCCAAAGCTTTAGTATCTTAACCCTTTGACCTTTTCAGTGGAGACACTTGCCAGAATATGGGCTTTGGGGAAATGTGGGCTCAGCAGTGGATGCTGGCTATCCTAACAATTGAAGCTCATGAACAAAAGGGCATTTCCACTGTACTGTAGGCCTCTGTTGAAAACATATAAAGGGCTAAAAGAGTCTGGTTTAGATACACCTGCTCTACGCAGCTGAGACAAGCAAGGCTGTGTAAGAAGGTAATGCATAATACTGACAGCCAGAGGTCATGGTTGGATTACATTAATATGTGACACTTTAAGGTTTTCTTAGAAACCAAATAGAAGTGAATCTCACCACACTTTAAGTTTACAGTTGAATGTGATCGATTCATTTTTAAAGACTCATTTTAGCACCAAACAGGAGGTGGAGTGTGATGGCAGCGCTCCATCTGTTCCTTCAAATCTCCAAACAGGGCTTCTGTGTTGTTTATAGCAGAAGGGCTGCTCTTTCTAAGTAAGCATCCACAGTTAGGCCCAACCTATATTTATATTATTTGACCCTGATCGAACAGGACTCGTAGGTGACAAACATGCACCCACTCACCTCACCTTGCATTCATCTCCAGTAATAAAAACACACACAAAAATCACCTCTATCTATGCATATGCATTATGCAAATAGTTTCACCATGTGCCCGGAGGTTAAGCAGGGGAGAAGCAGACAGCAGGTGGAAAAGTATACAAGGGTAAAGCCACGTATATCAACTGTACTAAGCTGTAATCTTACTGTACATTAATATTAGTAAAATAAGTCGTGGGAAGCAGCGAGGAGATCAAGAGATAGCTTTATTTATATGTGTATTATTTTTTATAAAGGTGATTTTGGTTTTGTATTGCCCCGTGATGTACAGCAGATTTGTTTAATTTAATGATGTTATCGATATGTTATTCTGATTAGGTTAAGTTTAAGGTAGGCTATATCCAATTTATTTCCTTTTTTTGGATCGCTCCACTTACGCACGACATAATCTGCAAGAAGTGAAAAAGCAAAAGGTGATCTCACCAGGTGAAAAGATCCCCTCCAACGAAGAGCACAGCAATAGTCGCCAGCAGGAAAGTTGGGATCTCCATTCCGCAAGCTTTGAGATAAATAATTCAGGGGGTAAAACAATTAAAAGTTTCCGGGAATAGAAATCGTCGAGAGAGAAAAAGCCACAGAGTTTTATTTTAGCGCGCTCTCCTCGTGATCCGGCGCAGCAGAGAAGAAAGTAAAGTGTTGTGCTGATGCTGCTGAAGTTGATGATGAAGATGACCCCATCTTGATGCTCCACACAATTCCTCCGCGTCCGGGAGCGCACAGGAGCAGAGCGCACCGAGGGAGAGGAGAGGATACCCGGGCAGACCGCAACAACCAGCCGATCCAACGCTTCCGCTACGGTCTGTCCTCCAGCAGAGAGAGAGAGGGAGAGATGGAGAGAGAGAGTGTGCGAGAGAGAGATGGAGAGAAAGAGAGAGAGACTCACTAATCTTTCAATTCCCTCCGATGCTTGGCCTCAGATTCAATCTGGACAGAGAGGCGGCTGATGTCATCAGGACTTCCGTTTATTATGCAATGTTTGACACGTTTGGTTCACATGCATTAGGTTTTAGCATGTCTGAAATAATGTCGCATTTCACTCTGGTGGAAACAGGAACAAGTGGCTTGAGGCGGGCCACCCAGAAGTCTTGAAGTTCCTCTGGGGGACTTTCCCCATATGAAAGAAGGTTAACATGCGGTGTTTTCACTTGGCCCTTTCAAGTCAATTTTACCTATGTATTTTAAATAATGTATTTTATCTTCGATACGGAAGTTGGTGAGTTATCATTATATTGAACAATTTCCAATGGGACCCTGGAACCTCCCACGGCTGATATTTACTTTTGGACAGCAACACAAGGAGAAACTAGCTAGGCTACTTCGAAGTAAAGCATTATACACTTTTCACATCTGAATATTTCTCTTAACCCATGATTATAACATTGTTTATGTAATGTTCAACAAAAACCCAGTGGAGATTTGTCACAGAGGACAATACGACCAATACTGATACAAAAACATTTTCAAGAATATGAGGGGCACACCATGGGGGCGAATCGCATCAAGGAACCTTCATTGTTTGTCATCACACATCTCTATCTGCCTATTTTCAATCATCAAGTAAAGTAGTAAAGGCATTAGACTTGCCCAAAATATACTTATTAAAGAAACAGAACCTGTCCTAGACCCTAATTCCAAAGTTTATTAATCCAACAATGGTGCATGGTGCAGCCTTAAAGGTTAACAATATCTGACCAACACCAAATTTCCCTCAGTTAGGAAATTTGGCTCAATAATAACTAAATGTGTAGTTGCCAGCCAATTTTGTGCTGAAATGAACTGACATCTGTGAGTACATTCATGTAATTTAGGTTTGATCTATACATTTTGAACTCCAACCCAAGCAAAAACCAAAACAACAAGTATGCACATCTCGCTCCATGGGAAGTATTATGACAATCCAAGGGATTTATTGTATTATAGGCATTATATGAGTCCCAGAGATTATAATCTCCTCTCAGTGTGATTGAAAATCATATTGATTGATAGGAAATGTGTGATTCTGTGAAAAATATTCCTAGCTTTATTTTTCTCCTTATTAAAAGTTACCTATTTTTTATGTGGGACCTGCCCTGGTTTCTGCTGGCTCACTTAAGATTCAGTGGCTGAATTCAAACCACCGTCTCTCCCACCGGACCTTCTGCTTGAATTTCCACTGTAATTATCTTTTGATACGAAGATATCAGGCTGCAGTGCACACTGCAATGTACTGCATTGGATACTCTCTCAACTATCTCTTCCTTTCAGTCCTCTCACCCTCATGTATTCTCTTTCTCCATGTCTCCGCTCACGTTGGTCTCCTCTGTTGATTATGTCAGCTGGAGTCTTTGTTTTCCTCACTGTTATATGCTCTGCCTTTATCTCTCCAACAAAACCTGCCTCCATATATATTCAGTCCCCCATGGTGATACAAAATGTTCCTGTATCACAACATTTGAATATGTTAGACACACTTCTCTCCTTTCTCCTCTTCTGATTCCTCTTCAACATTGTGAAGGATTAAAATAAAGCGTTATTGTGTCCAATAAGGGAACATCTTCAAAGCTCATTGTCCAATACTGACCAACTACAAATACATATATTTTTGGAGTGTTAATCAGAAGCAATATCTTGCATGTTTGACAACAGATTTGTGCATAACTCACAGGTTTGCCATTCTCTCTGAGGCAGCTAAGCTATTTTCTGCTGAGTGTGGACTGACAGATATCAGCCGGAACAAATATACAAGGGACATTAGTCCCTTGTATATTTTGGAAGGTACAGCTGTCAGCAGTCAGAAAAGGTCACTGTTGTTTGATAAAAAAGATTGTCATTCATTCAGAGGTGGGAGAGGTACTCAGATCTTGTACTTGAGTAGAAGTAGACCACACCAGAGTGTAGGATATACTGTTACAAGTACATTCAACATGTTACTCAAGTAAAAGTACAAAAGAATTAGCATCAAAATAAACTTAAAGTACCAAAAGTAAAAGTACTCATTATGCAGATTGGTCCCTTTCAGAATAATATATATGACATGTTTTGATTATAATGATTGATGCAAAAGAGTTATCAAATCTGGTAAAGGTGCAGCTAGTTTCAATGACTTTGTATGCTGCAGTAGCAGCATGTGAATGTTACTCCAGGTTTAAATAAAGTCCTTTTTAAGAGTTGATTATATTTCACATCATTAATCCAAATTTGTAAAGTAACTTAAGGTATTAATGTAGTGGAGTACAAGAAGTAACACTATTTACCTCTGAATTGTAGTGGAGAGTAGAAGTACAAAGTAGCATACAATTATAATACTCAAGTAAAGTACAAGTATCTCATAAGTGTACTTAAGTACAGTAAGTTTGAATAAATGTAGTTTACTCCATTGCATTCATTACTCCTTTAATGCTTTGATTAATACGGCAAAAGTAAGACACCAACGGTTCAAACTTTAACATATTGTAACATAGTAAGTAAATATTTTATGTGGTAAAATTACACATGTTTTGTCCCTGAGAACACTTGTGAACAACTTTTGGCATTTCAGTTATTAGCCTCTCTTGTAGCTAGTTGGCCACCAGCATCTTTCAGTTGGTAGGCCAGTTGACACAGTTGACAGCTAACGTCCTCGTGGGGCTTCAAGACCCCGCCCCCTGAGTCCAGTCTCCATGGAAACACTAACAAACATGGCGGGTTAACTTTTGCGGTTAGATACTGTAACTTTGAGAAGATATCTTGCCAAGAGACGGAAAGACAAGCAAAACGAGGTAACAGCTTATGTTTGTTAAATTAATTAACTAAATGTAAAACAGCTTAATTCAAGCTTTTATTTTACGTAACTTGTTGACATGCTTTCTAGAAAGTGGAGACAATCTCATCTATCGAGAGACGACACGCCAAAGTCCATTCAGAAATCTGGTTACTGAATGTTTCCCTACTAATTGGCAATGTCACACACCTGTAAAATTCGAGTTATTGTCTGCTGCAGTTCAGTGACAGGCACTCTTTGAATCGGCAGACATATAATCCACCATATAACATTTCAAAATGAAATATTAACGTTTTAAATGAGGGAGGCATGAGCTAACGCTAGCTTAACATTGACGTGATGATTTATAATGAATAAAAGCTGTATCTGCCTGATGAAAATAAGTGGTTTAAAATAAGTCAGTGAGCATTGCCAGGTAACATTTCTGGCAAATAAAAGATGTCTGTTACCCTAAGTACGGGGATATGTTGAGATGTGTCTGACATAATGCACCTGTGTCATTTAGAAATCAGGTGAAATGGACGTTGAAGAAAACAGGGAAAGTCCATTTGATGATGAAGCGTCAGACAGCACTGATAATGAGGGTGAGTGACAGCTGCTGTTGCTCCATTGTTTGCAAAATGCAGATTGTAGTCTCTACTGTACTTGCAGCCACTAAAAGATACCTTTTCCTCATAGCATAATCATATACAAGCCATGTATTTTTGTATTCATTGGTGTTAGGAGACTGGGATATACTAACTTAACATATTTTCATTTTGAGAAGATGGTCCAGGCCAGGAGTCATTTAAAGAAGAAGAGGTTGCCCTCCCTCCGGATTTCGAGTGGTTAGAAGAGTTGTATAAGTGAGTTTTTGAGTTTTTGAGTTTGAATATAAAGTCACTCTGACTCTAGTGATTCTTAATATGACATTTAGAGAAAATAATCATCAGAATTGGGTTTATTGCCAGTGTGTTTTACAAACAATTAGTGGCACATACATAAACACCATTACTTTATTTAACTCGTTTTCATAACATCTCTTTTTAACACAAAATAAATAAAAGATACAATAAAAAGAGCAAATGTATGAATAATAGAAAAACTGAGTTGAAAACTATGTTAACAAGAAAGATACATTATTATTATTATTATATTATTTTTATTTCATTCAAAGTCTTCCACTTTTAAAACCTCATTACAAACAAATCCAGGCAACATTGGTATCAATACATGTGTATACATACATAGTCATATATTCCATTAAACATGCCACCTTTCCTAAGTGTCATTTTCCATCTACATGCCACCTTTCCTAAAGTGTAATTTTCCATCTGCCTGAAGAGAGGACGATGGTGATGGTGACCTTGCGGTTGCGGCCGTCAGCGGTGAGAACAGGAGTTATGCCGAGACAGCACGGATGTTCAAGCTGAGACGAAACCTGGACCAGCTGGACTGCTTTCACCGACAGAAGGAGCACGACGTGCAGAAAGCCAGGTCTGAGCCTGGCAATCAACTGACCTTTGTAGTAAAAGTAGCAACATAGCCTAGATAAGAGATCCATGTGCTTTTAAGACTCTTATAAAACAAGCACATGTAATGGATTTCAGGAAAATTATAAGTCTACACATCTTCCGTCGAAGACTGAAAACTAACCTGTTTTGCCTGAACCTTGGCCATTAAACACAAACAAAAATGTAATACTTAAAGGGGCCCTTTTATGCAAATTTCTAGGTTCATCTTTGTATTTTGTGCCTCTACTGTGACATGTTTAAATGCTTTAATGTTCCAAAAGCTCTTTATTCTTCTCATACTGCCTGTGCTTCTTCTTATCGTGTCCACAAGGCAGTCAGTTACAGGGCTTGGTTAGATGTGGTTCAGCCACAGCTGAACACATTGCTGTCCCTTCTCATTAAACTCTGCCAAGTCCGATGTTGTGCAGGGTTGCTCCAGCAGGGGGCATATCAGGAGATGTTGCATGGTTTGTGGTTCAATGCCGCAGTCACACACAACGTCCCCGTCATTTAGGTATCCCCATTTGGCGAGAGTGGCTTTTGCACGTCCAACACCAGATCTTATTCTGTTTAGGCATTTCCACACTGCGTAGTTGGTATCTGCTCCAGGGGGCAGTGCCTCGCTCGCCTTTAGCTCCATTGTTGTTGCTGATGGGAGGTTGTCAAGTCTTTCTTCCCACCGAGTGACTCTTTCACTGCTTATGCTCGGTGTTCCGAGGGGTGGGAGGCTCTTCAGGAAACTTTTCCTGGATTTAAGGCGGCTTTTGGCTGGCACAAGGCCAAAGAGAGGATGTCTTTGGTCAGTAGACTGTTGTTGGCGCTCTTTCTTGCTTGCTGCATTTCGTCGTATCTCTGGTGGGGCTATGCCTGCCAGGATGTACAGACGGTCTGTAGGTGTTGATTTCAGGCAGCCTGTGATAATGCGGCAGCTAGCATTGAGGGCGGGATCCAGCTTCTTGGCATGGGCAGCTCGTTCCCATACTGGGCAGGCATACTCGGCAGCTGAGTAGCAGAGGGCTAGTGCGGTTGACTTCAGAGTCTGTGGGTTTGCACCCCAGGTCGTGCCGGTGAGCTTGCGGATGATGTTATTCCTCACACTCACTTTGCACTTAGTCTTCTCAGTGTGGGTCTTAAAAGAGAGGCATCTGTCCAGGGTTACCCCTAGGTAGACTGGGTGCTCACAGTGTTCAAGGGAGGTTCCTGACCAGCTGACCTTCAGTTGGCGCTTGGCTTCACGGTTTCTCAGGTGGAAGGCACACACCTGTGTCTTAGATGGGTTTGCACGTAGGTGGTTCTCTTCATAGTAAGGTGTTAGCTCTGCCAGAGCGTTAGAGAGTCTGTCTTCCACAGTTTTGAAATCAGTGGCTTGTGCACCTACTGTATGCCAAAATCGTCTGCATAGATGAAGCGGCGGGTGTCTACACTTTTTGGTTGGTCGTTGGTGTAGATGTTAAAGAGAAGTGGTGTAAGCACACTTCCCTGTGGGAGGCCATTCCTGAGTCTTCGCCACCTGCTTTTCTTTCCTCCTAGCTCAACGAAGAAGTGCCTATTTTCAAGCATGCTTTCAATCAGCTCTGTCAGGCGGGTGTCTCTTGTGGTCTCCAGGATCTTAATGAGGAGACGTCTATGGTTGACTGTGTCATAGGCAGCTGAGAGGTCGACAAACACCGCACCAGTTAACATCCCTTGCTCATATCCGTCTTCGATGTACTGTGTGAGGTTGAGTACTTGGCTAGTTGTCGACTTGCCAGGGCGGAAACCTGCTTGTTCAGGGATTAGGTGTTCGTCAACAAAGGCACCAATTCTGTTGAGGATCAGACGTTCAAAGAGTTTGTAGGTGTGGCTCAAAAGTGAGATTGGTCTGAAGTTCTTGGGAGCGGATGGTTCTTTCCCAGGTTTCAGCAGTGCTATAATGTGGGCTTTCTTCCAGATGTTAGGAAGCTTGTGTGTTGTTAAGCACTCATTGTAGAGCTGTTGGGGCCACGTCTTTGCCTTGTGACCGAAGTGCTTGATCTGTTCCGTTGCGATAGTATCCAGTCCAATTGCCTTTCCTGGTTTGAGGATAGAGATACCCCCTTCCAGCTCTTCCATAGTTAGTTGTCTTGTAAAAGCAGGCTCCTCTATGTATTTCTTGCGGTTCAGCTTGGTCTTTTTCCCTCTCTTTCTACTCTTTCCATTTTCGAGCAATTGGTTGGCAACTTGGTTGGCCCTGACTTTTGGGTCACCTCGTAGCTTGTGAATAAGTGCCCATGCTTTCTTGCTGTTTTTTGACATGTCTGTGGACTCTATAAGAGCATTCCAGGTCTTGCTTTGCTCTTGGGCAATGCTTTCCATAACCTTCTCGCCTTGGGTAGTTGTTTCATCTGAGAAGGGATCTGCTTCAAACATGCTGACGTAGTTGTCATAGAGTCCTGCACAGTCCTTTGAAAGTCCCGTTATATATTCAACTCTACATCCTCGTGGGATATGTTTCCGAGCAGTTTTCAGCACCAGGTTAGCAAATTGGTCGTAGTTCTTGCTAACTGGTATTATGTTTGTGATCTTTTCTTCCAGCTCGTTGGTGAAACCTTTCCAGTCTGCTTTCTTGTAATTGAAGCGCCTTTTAAAGGGCACAATGGTTGGGACTACAGCCGCATTGATTAGGATCCCAATGGGGCGGTGTTGGCTTGATGGAATAGGGTCCAGCACCGTCTTTTTACACAGTCCAGCGATGTTACTTGTGACCATGGTGAGATCTGGGTTGTAGCCACGTTTCCAGCGAGCACTGAAAAACGAGTGTGGTAGCTTGGGGTCATGGATCAGACTTAGTTGGTTAGTATCCATCCAGTCCTCTACTGCTTCTCCATCCTTGTTCATTTCAGAGTAGCCCCACTGGGTACTGTGGCTGTTGAAGTCACCAATAACGATCTGTGGTTTGCCGTGTATTTTGGGGATTGGCTGGGAAAATACAAAGTCTACAGGTGGTGGTTTGTAGACAGATGTTACTACAACACTGCTTAGCTCAACAGATAGGACTTCGATATTATGGCCATCTGACATATCTGTATGCCTGTGCTGCAGCACCTCTTTTCACCCTCTGTCTGAAACCAGAGCCTAGTCTGCTCTGATTGGTTAGCTGGCCGGCTCTGTTGTGATTGGTCAACGGCTTAGCCTTTCACTTACAATGCGTTGGAGCCAAGCCCCCAGGAAGTGCTCCGGACTCTAAGGAAAATATTCGTAGTGGCCAAACGGCAGTACCACAACTTCCGTATCAGTCCGTGACGTCACCCGGCCCAGAAATACTTTTCCCCATTGACTAATATTGGGGGTAAAGAGTCTGTAAATCAGCAGATCATTTTTTTTTAACTAAATAAAATATCCAATATGTGCGGAGCCCTGGTGGGTTCATAGAGAGAAAAATAAATAAAACAAGGCCACGTTTTATATTAATTCGTGTGTGTGTGTGTGTGTGTGTGTGTGTGTGTGTGTGTGTGTGTGTGTGTGTGTGTGTGTGTGTGTGTGTGGTGTGTGTGTGTGTCTGTGTGTGTGTGTGTGTGTGTGTGTGTGTGTGTGTGTGTGTGTGTGTGTGTGTGTGTGTGTGTGTGTGTGTGTGTGTGTGTGTGTGTGTGTGTGTGTGTGTGTGTGTGTGTGTGTGTGTGTGTGTGTGTGTGTGTGTGTGTGTGTGTGTGTGCGTGCGTGGTTATAAACGTAGCAGCGCCAATGAGCAGCAGCTTCATAGGAATGAACGAGGTCCTACCTCCGACGCTGTATCCAGTTCTTATTATATATACATGGTAGGAACACTAGTCAATTAAAAACGTGAGTGTTACATAGTGATGTCACTATATCAGGGTTGCCAACTCTCACGCATCTGGCGTGTGACACACGCTTTCACTCTCAATCTCACGCTCTCACGCTGCCCAAACTATTCTCACGACAAAAACAAGAATACCGAAGACTATAAATGGTTTTGAAAACTTTAGTGATCGTCTTCTCAATAGAACATCTTTGATAATGTCTCCTGGCCAATCAGAATCAAGATAACAGCGTGGTGTTGTTGCAGGAAGTCCCGAAGGAGAATACTTTTGCTGTAGTACATCTCTATATACATCGATACAACATTACGTGTTGATAGAAATCAACACGTAATGAAATAAGACCCCACGGTTTGATGATTGATAGGTGTGTGGGCTGTCTTTCATTTTGACACACAGAACAATGGGGGCTATCCACCCTTATCCACAAAGTCATTCACACAGCCTCTTCCCTCTTCTCTCTGTGAGGAGCAGCAGGTTCAGCTTTCAGAACAAAGTAGGCTAACAACAAACTAAAATGGCATTCATTTTTTTAAATATGTCGTGTAGTAATAGATTTATTTTTTTTCTTCTCAAGAGAGTACCAGAATGTGTATTTTATGTTAGTAGTATTTCAAAAAATCTCCTGGGGGAGAATCCCCACAGACCCCCCTGCAGGGGTTGGGTTTTCAGCACGTCAACTCTTTCACCTGTGGAGAAATTGCCGGATTGGCTCCAGGTCGCCCTTTTTATTTACTACAAGAGAAATGTGCCTTTTTATTTCATACAGTTCAATTTGGATTGAGACAGGGAAATAATCTAACCCTCACGCGTGGCGTTTCACTGTCAAGGGGAGTGTGTAATTACATTGCAAATACTGACTTGAGCCCCACCACTGTATGGGTTAGCCCTACCATAGATTACCCAACAAAAATACTCTGGAGCCGCAACTGCCGACCCGTATTGCGCATGCTCAGATCTAAGATCCAGTAGAAATGATAAAAAAGTAAAAGTCTGCTGCTTATTGTTCTACTAGGCCAGGGGTCGGCAACCCGCGGCCCACGGGCCGCATGCGGCCCTTTAAGCCCTCGGCTCTGGCTCCCTTGAGTTTAGACAAAAATAAGAAGGAAATAAAATAAAAGTATTTGTAGGACTATTTATATTTTGTTGCATGGTTGAAAATGTTTCGTATCTTGTATTTTGAGGTGATACTGTGACACATAAATAAAAAACAAAACGGTTTTAATCAGGTCAACTAAAATATGCGTCACATCCTGCTACGGTCCCGGGCGAGCGCCTTTTCTTGGAGGCGATCGAATAACCTGACCCCCGGCTCGATGAGCGAACTATGGATACATCAAAGAAAAGTACCGGAGGAACACAGGATTTAATTCTGTGTGGACAGAGTTATATGCTTTCACAGCAAACGATGCTGGTTTACCGGTATGTTTGATATGTAGAGAGAAGTTGTCAAAGGTGCTGCAGCCTTTACGTATCGAGGAACAACACGGGAGAGGAAGACAGCTGACGATCTTCAGTCATAATTCAATGGGGTATGTAATTTATTTCAGAAAACACTTTTTGTTATATTCCATGGAATGCTCTTAACGTCCCGATAGCAATGAATATATTAAATGCTTTGACAATAAATACATACAAAAATTAATCTCTGGAAGCCGTAGCGCTGTAAAAAGCACGACCAATCATCTGAGCCGGCCCGGCTAAAATAACTGGATGGCCTACCTGCCTGTCAGCCTTCCATCTCGTGCCCTCATTGGTCATGTGCGCGTTCGTGTGTGTTGGAGGAGGGACTCTGTAAGAAAGTCTGAAGGAAGAGGCATATTTGTTCCGGTTGTGTACTTTCAAATTCTAGCTCACTCGAGCTGGTTTCTCCATTCTTACCTACCCTACCTTTAACTCTTTTTAGGGTGCAGCTATATGTTTTATTTATTTCAAAGTTTTCCCTTCAAATGTGCAGAGGACTCCCCAAGTGCTGTGTTTAATTTATTTTAAAGTAGGCCTGTGTATTATTTTTAATTCTCCTTATAAGAGTTATTTGTTTCTTATTAGAGGTTAACAGTTGTATATCATGTAATAAATAGTAAATTAATTAATTAATAAATGCAAAAAAACTGTAGTTTTTGTCTGATATAACAATAAAAAACTATGAAATATATTTTGCTGCTCCAGACAAAAAAATGTTTTGGAAAAAGGAGCAAAATGGCTCTTTTGGTCAAAAAGGTTGCAGACCCCTGTACTAGGCCAAAAAAGAGTCAAAGAGTATGTGAGAGTGTGTTAATTAATATATTTGGCAGTTTGGAGTAAGTCTGTAGATTTGTGTGTGTGTGTGTGTGTGTGTGTGTGTGTGTGTGTGTGTGTGTGTGTGTGTGTGTGTGTGTGTGTGTGTGTGTGTGTGTGTGTGTGTGTGTGTGTGTGTGTGTGTGTGTGTGTGTGTGTGTGTGTGTGTGTGTGTGTGTGTGTGTGTGTGTGTGTGTGTGTGTGTGTGTGTTTCATGTATAGGCCTCTCACGATAATTAATTTTGTTGGATACATTTTCCCGGAAATTATTGTCGGCACCGTTGTATGACCATTTAGACCACTGACATAATGATAATATATAATAATAATTCAAGTACATCCTTTCAAACTGCTAGTCACATCCTCATGTAAATGGCAATTTATTAAGTTCATTTTTATTTATTGTACGATAAGTCAATTAATTGCTTATCGCGACAGGCACACAATAAAACAGTGGAAACAAACATGTGTTTGACTTTCATTAGTGAATGAAACTGTGTGCCCTTTATAGTCTGTGTCCAATATTGTGTATTTGTATATATTGTATATATATCCTATATATATGCTAAGGTCTCGCTGCTGACACGATAGCAGTCATTTTGTGCGCATATGTGTAATTAAACCCATGATATCAAAATCTCACTCCAGCCAGGTACCCAAAGTTGGCAACCCTGCTATATTACGAAAGTAAAAAAGGAGACTGGGATTTTAGCCATTGCAGACAATTGACCTGCACAAAAACATATATAATACACTACAGGAAAGGGAAACCCTTAAAAGCTTTATGTTTTGGCTCATTTAAAAAAAAAAAAGATGCAAAAGCCCTGACAATGGTTTGGCTTTTTTTAAAGTAAATCAACTTGCACGTGCCTCGCTTTTCTGAGTTTGTATCTTCACGGTTTATTGCACTTGTTGTAAAGGAAAACCTTGTTTTTGTATTTCTTGTGATTTTTTGTCTGTGGTCATTGCATTGCTAAGGATAACAATTTCCCACAATCCTTTCAGTTTCTGGAAAGATATTTCCCCCCCCCCCCCGTTCTAAACCACTTTCCCCTCATGCCTTCTTCACACAGGAACAATCATTTCTGTACCAATTGATTCAGCAATTTGCCGGAATAGAACATTTCCCATAATGTCCTCTCTCTTCACACTTTTCTTCCCTCTTTTTATTTGTCTGCAACGCAAGCCATTAAGTACCCGATGAAGTGTGTGTGCGGTCTCCAGCTGAAATGGCTGTCATTTTCCTTTGGCACAAAACATCAGAGGTCAGAGTGGAGCTGCACTGCGCTCTGATCAAACATGAGTTTTTTTCACGATACACAGATTGTTCTGTTGCACGTCATTAAACTGCACAAAGAACATTGGCTATTTCAAAGCTGTTGAGGTGAGTTTGTGTCCACTCTCAGCTTTTCAATATCTTCATTACAGTAGATTACCTTGTTAGCCGACAGAATGACCTTCCTTTTATTGCAATGGCCGAAAATACATCCATTAGTGTGATGCTCTGAGCACAGCTTTTGAAATGTTCTTTCTGGTTTGGGATGTGTCTCTATGTCAACACTTGAACTTGTCTTACTGTTTCCAGAGAAGAGCTTAAACTCTGCCGTCAGAACATTGAAAGTGTGTTGGAGCAGAGGGAAAACTTGGAGGAAAAGATGGAGGAACAGAAAGCAGCAGATAACAGGTGAGCTGAGCAAATTGCCACTAGTCTCTACTATTTCATTTTGCATAACCTCTGTTTATTCTGTGTATTTTATTCTGCAGCGTTGCAGTGTTTCGTACACGAGCCCAGCATAAGCTTTTGTGTCAGAAGCTGCAGAGTGAAGAGGAGCTGGAGGGCCACATCAACACGGAGCTGAAGCAACAAGAGTGAGTCCGAGAAGAAGGTGGTTTGGCAGTATGGTCTTGCTTTGATAAGCATCAGAGGTGTATGGAAATCTCAGCCCCCTTCATATATTTAAATGGACCTTGTAATTAACTAAGAAAGCAAAAACAGAAAAAAATTACACCATGCAGAAGATCCCCATTGTTTAAAGCCACCGCCCCCTTACAAGATAGAGAATACATCGGGAACCCCTCATGTACGTTCCTTGATATACATTGATATTGTCCATTCTTGACACTTTTATAGTCAGAGAAAGATTTCAAACATGCACCATCTCTACACCGAATACTCACAAAACAGTGCAACACCCATCAATTGAAGTAGCTACAAGTAACAGCAGCTGTTCAAAAGTGTCAAAGGCAAATCAAGAGTAAAGGGCTCATTTTAAGTGCATTTCAGACTATACACGTACAGATATCAAAATAACTGTGAACTTAAGTTTTTCCCTTTTGGTTCAAATGCTAAATAAATGATTCTGATATTTCAAATAATAGCCTTACAATTTGTTAGATGAAAACATGATATATTGTCTATTTTCGATAAAAAAAGAATACTTGTTAAACTATGAAAGCTTTTGTAATAAAAGAACTGTAATCTGAAAAAATATCATGTTTTTTCACTATATTAGTAACAGAAACCGCTACGCAGTATTTACCCATCTGAATAACCTTTAAACTCTTATCTACGTCTCAAACCAGACTTCGGGGTTGTGTTTAGCACCTCAATGCTAGATGAAACCAAACACCACTCGTGTTAATCCCAATTTAATGCTCTTTTTAATCAGAAATCCCTGCTTATTTGACTTTCTGTCGGCTTCATCACAGTCATACATGCTGTCAATGATCGTCTTTGAGTTTGATTAGCAAGAAAAGCTTTGCCATTGTCATGTGTAACGTTCTGGGGCAGTTTTGTTGTTAAACCTATAACGCTGTATGAAGGAACTGCTTTGAAAATGATATGCTCTAATTGTCTGAATGCTGTTTTGTAGGATTAAAACAATTATCACTGCCTAGACTAATTCATTCAGTTGATTGATCTATTTTTAATCATAATTATTTTTACCAATTTGATAAGAACCAAATCAAATTGCCATTGTGCTTCCAAACCCTGCATACGTGTAGTTCTCTTCTCTCAGCCACATTAAAGGTCCCCTATTGTACTGTTTTTCATCAATATATTATAGCTCTCAGTTATGCACAAAGCATGTCTCTGATGTGTTTGGCTCCAAATACCAAACAGATTGTAGCATCCCATAATCCCCTCTGTTTCAGCCCTGTTTCAAACGTGCTGATTCTCTGTGTGTTACTTTAGATGAAAACAAGGAGCCCCTCCCAATGCCCCTCTGAGAGAGATTTGGTTAAAAAGAACACAATGGTGCTCTAGGAGGAGATTCAGGTGATAAGGTGGGCGGGTGTTACCTTGGTTGGTGATTGGCTAATGGTTACGCAAGCCAAAACATCGATATGACATCATAAAGTGGCCAAAATCTGATCAGCTCATTTTCAGACAGGTTTTTATAGAAATGGATCAGGACAAAAAGAGAGAGAATCTTTTTTCCTGAAACTTTCAGAATCTCTTCACACAGAGGGGACACATGTTGATGTATAACAGATATGACAAAGTGGATTTTGCATAATAGGTGACCTTTAAGTGACGGTACTGGAGAAATAGATTTAGGAAACGTTCACTATCAGTCTGCATTTCCAACTTTCTTCCTCTTTTTTTTTTTCTACATCTTTGCTCCTCAGACTGGAGCTGAGCGAGGTGGAGGTGGAGCTTGGCAGGTTCTCCTCTCTCCGGCAGGAGGTGCAGGAGGAGGAGCGGGCTTTCGGGGTCCTGAAGAAGCAGAAGGCGACGAAACGGCTGCAGCAGGAGAAGAAAGCCAGCCAGCACCAGCAGCTCAGGATGCAGCATCTCAGGGAGTACGGAAAACAAACATATTCTCCATTCACGCTCTATCGTTTTTGTGTGTCGAGCAAAAAATTCATCTCATTATATAAATAAGTGAGTAGAAGATGTCACACAGCGAAATCACATTTGTATGCCTAGGGAGATAATTAAAAATGAATTATTTGTGCACTTTAAAGTATCACTCCCTAATGAAAGTATTGTCATATTGCACCATGCCATTCTTTATTGATTCTTTTTAAGAGAAGCCTCTATGGGGCATCAGCTATATCGACCTTGAACAGCCATATTGAGACTGATATGTTCTGCATGTCTCTGTGATTGTGTTCTGATAGTAAACAGGCATCGATGCTGAAGAAAGAGGAGGCTGAATGTCAGAGGAAAATCGAAGAGGGCCGAGCCAGCCGCAAGGTAGCTGCCAAGTACTTGAAAGAGACCATTAAAAGGTAATCAGCCTTTAAGCCAATATACTGGGCTCAGGGTGGAACAAAAGCATATCTCTGAGGACTCATTGGAGAGTTGACACATCCTATTGATCATTCACTCATACTGGCACAACATATGACAAGCAGCAGGCCTGATAGGATGCTTCAAGAGCTCAAATTGACAGAGAAAAGTTCTAGCTGAAAGATCTGAAAAGTGATTAAAGTTAGTGAAGTTAAATGTCCCTCCAAAAAATACTGTACTAGAAGTAGTTTTTTTTCTGGTTAGTACGAGTCCATGTGAAAGTTGGCTTATATGATTTTGACGGGTCACCACTAACGAAAGTGTCCTTGTTGCCGACTTTCATACAGCTTATTCAATAAGGGCAAGTTACGGCGGCTTTATGTATAAAGCACATTTCATAACAAAGACACTCATATTAAAACGGGACGGGTGGTGCAGTGGTCTGTGCGTTTGATCATCAGATCAAGGGGGGCGTTGGGGAACTCCAGTTCGAAACCCGCTCCCGCCCTACTGCGTCAGGCCGTTGTGTCCTTGGGCAAGACACTTCACCCGAATTTGCTCCTGTGGGTATTGTCCACAGTAGATGACCATTACATGTATGATCTGTATGTGTAATGTGTATTTGTAAAGCGCTTTGAGAGTCTTTGATAAAGCGCTATAATAAATATAAGGATTATTATTATTATTATAAAACATTTAAATAAAGAAGAGGCAGGAAGAAATTATAAATATGCAATATATTGGATTAAGATTTAGAATAAACATATATCATTTATTTGGTTAGTGAGTTATTTATACCCAATGTAACACACAAACGATAACATGAGTCATAGGTGCCCAGTGTTTCCCACAGAATTTGATTCCCCTGGCAAGAAAAGCCAAAGGCACCTTAACCTATACGGGTGGCCCACGCATCCACCCCCCCTCAAATAAGATAATACATGTGAGTTCATGGCTACTGTAGACAACGTTCTTGTTGCTCTGTGTTGCGTTGTTAATGAGTGAGACACACCGGAGTTGAGGATCTGTGGGGTAATTTACAATGTAGGCATTTAGCAGACGCCTTATTCCAAAGCGACTTACAATGACATTCTCCCTGGAGTAACCGAGGGCTAAATGCCTTACTCAAGGGCAAGTGGTGTTCCAGGCAGGATTTGAACTCGCAACCTTCCGATCATCAGCCCACCTCACTATCCATTAGACCAGTGGTTCTCAACTTGTGGGTCGCGATTTTCTAAAGCTGTGCATGCAGTAGGCGTTGGACTGGAAGTACCGGAGACCATAAACGGTCTTGAAAACTTCTGTCACGTAGTGATCATCTTCTCAATAAAACATCTTTGCTGAAGTTTTTTCGAGTCTTCTGGCCAATCAGAATCAAGATTGTTGCCGGAAGTCCCCACGGAGAATAACTTTGCGGTAGAACTATTCTTTATACATCCATGGGTACAACTTCAGATACAAATGAACTAGTGCTGTAAAAATTATCGCGTTAACGGCGGTAATACATTTTTTGAATTAATTGCGTTAAAATATTTAACGCATTTAACGCATGTGCAGAATGGCCCGCCCCATACATCCCACCAGTGGCAGCGCCAGGGTATGGCTGGGGTAGGCTACACACATACCAAGAAATGGCTTAGCCCCACCATGAAAAATGATGTTAAAGGAAGCAAAATAAAGTCTGCCAACTCGCGCGGAGTAAATTGCACAGCAGTTAGTAATATTGATTTCAGTAGCCACGGTTTTGAAAACTTTTGTGACGTAGGCCTAGTGATCGTCTTCTCAATATAACATCTTTGATAATGTCTTCTGGCCAATCAGAATCAAGATAACGGCGTGGTGTTGTTGCAGGAAGTCCCGACGGAGAATACTTTTGCTGTAGTACAGGGGTGCACATAACTGGTACGCAGGTTATGTGCGTAATCTGAAATGCGTACCGTCACTTGTGTCACAAAGCGCATTTGCGTACCGACGTACTTGTGAAGCTTTTCCAGAAGGCGGTTAGATCACCGGACGACAGAGTCGGTCTCCGTGTGCACAGACAGGGCTGCTGTTAACGTCGGTCTGTACAACGGAATAGTGCCAAAACTACGCCAACCGGCTGCGGAGGGAGACTTTCCCCCCCCCCCCTTCACTGGAGAACTGCGCTAAAACAGCTGATCACAACGTTCACACTCTGTGGTCACGAAGTACTCCACTAGCCGCCCCCCCTCTGTCGACTTTCCTGAAGTACTCCCCCGTTGATAGAAATCAACACGTAATGAATTAAGACCCCACGGTTTGATGATTGATAGGTGTGTGGACTGGGCTGTCTTTCATTTTGACACGCATAATAAACATAGATAGGGCTACTGTATGTTAAATGGATATATCCGCCTTCTTTCATTTATCTTTCCATTCCCACAACAATATACATAAAGAAATAGCATATTTTGGACATAGTTCGAATGGTGATTAATCATGATTAATTAATTTTTAAGCTGTGATTAATCTGATTAAAAAATGTAATCGTTTGACAGCCCTAAAATGAACACATAATGAAATATGATGATTGACAGGTCACAGAACAATGGGAGCTATCTACCCTTACCCACAATTTAAAGTCATTCACACAGACTATCTCCTCTTTGCTCTTCTCTCTGTGAGGAGCAGCAAGTTCAGCTTCAGAACAAAGTGAAAAACAAACAATGGCATAAATTATTATTAATATGTCGGGTAGTAATAGATTTATTTATTTTCTTCTCAGAGTGTACCAGAATGCGTAGTTTATATGTTAGTATTTCTAAAAATCTCCTGGGGGAGAATCCCCCCAGACCCCCCTGCTGGGGTTGGGTTTCAGCATGTGTGCCTTTTTATGTTATACAGGTCAGCTTTGATTCCATCATCTCATTAAACCTTTTTAAAAGCATACTTTAGTTCTGTGAAGGGATATAAGGGATATATGCACTGTACTTCACTTTAATTAATATTGTATGCTGAAAAGCGTATATATATTACAGCAGGATTTTTGTTGAATAGATTTCAGTGGTTCAAAATTTCGGGTCGCGATTTATTGACAAAGGAAAAAGTGGGTCCCGAGGCCTGACCAGTTGAGAACCACTGCATTAGACCACAAAAATAAAAAATAAATTTTAATTGGCGGCCCGCCACAAATAAATCAATGTATGGGAAACACTGGGTGCCATTGAAAACCTCAAGCCTCGCATTATAACACTTTATTGTCCAAATGACCTCTTAAAAGACCAAAACAAACAATGAACTGATCCCAATTATAAGTAGCAAATGCCCGGTGCACTGTATTTTATTCTATTTTTAATATTGAGCTCCATTGTAGTTCAAAAAGTATGGTATATGTTGAATTCTGAGTTATCATAGTAACATTTGTGTCTGTACATGTAAATAGATTTGTTCTGTTTGGTTTTATATTCAATCAATGAAAATACTTTATTAATCCCAGGGGAATTCGGTTGGGGAAAGTCGGAACATATTCAAATGAAATAAGTCATTATTTATATAAACAAAAGTACAAATATGCAATAAAAGTCCTTGTAGCCACAGATATTAGGCACAGGAACAAGGCAGGACGTCCTGCACAGCGCAGGGACACTAAACTCTAAATGCCTACATGTAAATTGAACCTGAGCTCCCTAATCAGTATCAGTGTATGATACTTTCATGTAATACTCTAAATAAAACTATACACAATAAAGCATTGCTCAGAGTCATGATAATGAACCTTAATGCTCAGCTCCTGGAAGTTACAAACCTAATCAGCTGCTTTGTTTGTCTCTCTACTAAACTATTTCTGATCTTTAACATGCTCTGTTATTGTCCCCGTTTCATTCAGCATGCAGCAGCAAGAGGCTGAGAAGGAGCAGCAGAACCGGGAGCTACTGGAAAAGCGGATGCAGGCTGTCAAATCACTGAAATCCAACATCGCAGCCACACAAGTGAGCGCCAGCACCCTCTCATATAAATACTGTTTGTTGTTTCAGCAGTCATAAGGAACATGAGCTGTAGAGCTACAGTATGCATTATTAACATTTCCTATAGCTTCCATATCTATAAAGCTATATAAGATCATTCCAATGAGCATAAGTATTTCTGCATGCCTCGTAGAAAATAAAGGCAAACGTGCATCTCAAATGAAGAGTTGATTTAGAGAATGCATTTCAATTAGCCCACACAGATGTGGATGTCCAATAGCTGCAAAAGCTGGACAGTTTTCCTGAAACCACAGGCAGTGTAACACCACAACTGTGTGTGTTGATTTATGTTATCAAAATAATAAGAAGGCACTAATCCAGATTAAGGCTGCTCGATTTGGAAAAAATAAGTAATTGCAATTATCTTTAATATTATAATTGCGATATGATTCACAATATTGGAGGGATTGATCATTTAGCATCATTACTGTTTTCACCCTCTGTCTGAAACCAGAGCCCAGTCTGCTCTGATTGGTTAGCTGGCCGGCTCTGTTGTGATTGGTCAACCGCTTAGAGATGTCCCGCCCCTTAGCCTATCACGTACAATGTGTTGGAGCGATAGCCAATAGAAGCGCAGGTGTTACGTAGTGATGTCACTATGTCACTGCAGTGGAGGCATCTCAGGCAGGGGGGGAGTGTGTGGGACAGAAACTCCCTCTGGACGGAACTTTGGGATTTGAGCTTTTGCAGACCATTTACGTGCACTAAAACCTTTTAAACTCACAACAGGAAAGGGAAAACCCCCAAAACCATAATAGGGCACCTTTAAATATTGCTCTTCCTACGATATGTACATTGTGCCAGCCCACATTTTATTTTTAATTCAATTTTGAATATTTGTTCAGCCCTAATGCAGAGTTTTTAGGCAGTTACAGTAGCTCTGCTCAAAGTGTGAATGTTCCCCTTTAACCAAGCAGAGAAACCATGACAACTTGGATCTTCCATTCCTGCTGTTATAGTAACAAGACATTCATTTATGTGCACTAAATATCAATATGTGTGCACTTATTAAGTCCATTTGAGGTTTATACAGTTAATAAAAACATATTTCTTGTGAGATGAGGCAAATGCACAAACATTTGGACATAAAATGACTTGAAGTTGCAATCAAAGTCTTTGATTACCTGAGTCTTACTTCAAACACGGCTGTAACGTTTGCTACATTAGGAAGCATAAAGAAATCATCATATATTTTGAGACATTAGGACTTGTATTCGTTCCATCCATCTGGACCAAATGATCCTTTAACATACTGAGGGAGAGATTTGAGGCAGAAGCCACATTATCATTGTATTCTCATTACACCCCCTCATTATAAATACAGTCATTCAGCTCTGGACTACGAGCACTTATATGCATCACAATCTTGCAATGCTACCATCATCAGGCTTTATTTGCCATTTTAACCGGAACATTTCATCATTTTGGAGCACCTTTCCTAGTTCAAATACATGACGTTGTCAACTAAAGCTTAATTAACCTGATGTGTTTTCTTTAGGAGAGCTTACGGGTCAATCAAAGCAGAGCCAGAGCCAAGGCTCAGAAGGAAGAGCAGCGACAGAGACAGCTGAGAGAGTCCCTGCAGGCTGAGGGATTGAACAGTATCCAGCATATGTACCAGCAGAAACAGCTAGAGGAGATACAACGAAAACAAGAGTATGTCCTCTCCTCTCCCTTTCCTCTCCCACACGCATGTCCTCCACTCCCACGCCGTGCAGCAGCGTGTGGGTGTTTTCTCTCGCTCGTGGCCGCGTTTCAGTATCATGCAGTGTTGTTGATTTGCAGAGGTGGAGAAAGTACTCAGAGGCTTTACTTAATTAAAGTAGATAGTCTTATAATACTATATTACAGTATATATTTTCATTACGCAGAATGGCTTTTTTTAAACCGTTATACAATATTATTATTTAGTTTTTATCACTATCATTTTGCGATTTGTCAATGTGGAGCAGATTTGATTATTTTATTTTTATTATTATATTTTATTTTGTATGATATTAGTATTATTGATATTATTATTTGTATTATTATGTATTTATTTTATTATAATTATTATGTCTTAATCCAACAAGGAGGATGCATAAAAATACATACATCTCAAAAGTTATTGCCCAAAAATGTTTTAATTACATTTTTTTCTTTTTGTAATGGCTTTAAAAAAATCTAATTGGTATCAAAGATAATTCCTAAATATTTGAATTTGAAAGTTTTTCATTATTTGTCTACTAACGCTAAGCTGTGGATTCACAATATATTTGAGCTTATTCAGTCAAATACTGCACATCTTCACGATCATTGTCAATATGTCTTATTATATTTTTTGATAGCTAGTTACTATGAAGTATAAATAAGTGTAATGGAGTACAATTTTTGCCTCGTAAATGTGTTGTTATAGAAGTGATAAACGGCATTGAATTGAAATATCGATTAAAGTACTAGTATGTCCAAGGGTTCTTAAGCACAATACTTGAGTAAATGTACTTGTTGACATCGTACCACGGTTGCTTTGCCTTCTTTCTCAGGCAATTAGAAGAGAGGCAGAAGTCAAAGAGAGTGGAGATTGTGGAGAAGATCCTTCAGGAGGGGCCGCTGGTGGAGAGCAGAAAGAGAAACCCGCCACCGACGCCTAAACTGTCATTAACTGACAAGTACCCGTCTCTGAGGAGGGCCAGAGAGAAGCTGCTGCACTACCTGGACCGCAGACCCCCAACGGCCACAGAGGAGAGAGCTACCATCGTGAGTGGCTCATACGGTGGTGCAGGAAGGAGTCCTAAAAAAAGGGAATGAGTCAGAATGTTAACATTTCCGGGTGCTTCATTTGATAGTATATGTTTTTTTTTACCTGTTTTAGGTTTGATGCTTGAAAAAAAGTCGGTGGTTAACATACGCTTAAGAGATTGTCACGTCTTGTCACGCGAAATCACCCAACTCGTGAATATCCGAACCATCTTTATGTCATAAAAACACCCTTTGTTAACATAATCCATCCATCCATCCATCTTCTCCCGCTTATCCGTGGTCGGGTCGCGGGGGTAGCAGTTCCAGCAGAGAGCCCCAAACTTTCTTTTCCCTGGCGACATCAACCAGCTCTGACTGGGGGATCCCAAGGCGCTCCCAGGCCAGCGAAGAGATATAATCCCTCCACCTGGTCCTAGGTCTACCCCTCGGTCTCTTCCCAGCTGGACGTGCCTAGAACACCTCCCTAGGGAGGCGCCCAGGTGGCATCCTAACTAGGTGCCCAAACCACCTCAACTGGCTCCTTTCGACGCGAACATTAACGTAATGAGACGGCTAAATGTAAGCACGTCGAACATTAGGCGCCTTTAGCTCAGGGGTGATGATCGCAGCCATGTTTCCGTAATGTTCTGCATTTATAGCCTAACGTTAGCTATTTTACGACTTGGCAATTGCATGTATCATATGAGTGGTGGATATCATCCTGCTAAACAAAACATGTAGGTATCATAAATGTGTGATCACATTTTCTGCAATTTCTACGAAATCTCATTGCTTTTTGTCGAGGGACCTCCTGCGATGCTAACTTCAGGTTCGCCCTAGAAAAAACGTCATTACTGCACCACTGTGATCCACTGTATTTTCATCAATCATGACCCGATGTGTGTTTTTGCAGCAGTTGAGAGACTTTAGCAGCTCGTCATCAGCTTCCTCTGATGTTGACGACCAAGAGGAACCCACCAACCAGGAAGAGGACCACCCGAGCCTTTCTGACAGCCTGGCTGAGCCTGAGTTCTCTGGCCTTTGGGACCAGAACTACAAGGTGCGCTAAAGAAAACACCACAGCTGAACAAAAGCAAATCCCTGCAAGCGGCTATATATAAACACTCATACATCATGTCCCATTCACAGCAGACACATGCTTTTTCTATGGATGTGCTTATTGCATTTATTTCCACTGCTGAATTCCCTACCTGCACACTGACGCATGGATCATGAATAATTATATTTAAAGGCACTTCACTGATTTTAAATAGTTGTGTAGCATGTTGGAAGTTAACAGAAAAGAGGATTCTACTGACTTCTTCACTGATTTAATAAGGGACAAGTTCAATTCCCCGTAGCCATACTGTACCTCTGGCTTGTTAGTGTGTTCACAGCGGTCAGTGTTTAAGGATGAGGGATTGTTCTCATTCCTGCACAACTAACTCCTACTTGTTAGTCAGGGTTGGGGTCTTTTGGGGTTTTTCAAGTTTTAAACGTCTTTTTTGTGAGTCCATAACCCAAAGATAATTACTTATATATGATTTTTTGAAGAGGAAAAACTAAAAATCTTAATATTTGACAGGCTGAAGTATTACTTAAACAATAACTCATTATCAAAAAAGTTTGGGATTATTTGACTGCTGATCAATTGATCTCCTAATCTTTGCAGCTCTACATTGCAAGTGAAAAGAGACACATAGGCAACACAGTCTGTTTTCATTGTCCCAGGACAACAATCAGGCCACAGCGCTGAGGAAAATAGGACAGGTTGGAACAATCCAGGTTTTTTAGAGCTTGTAATGATATATAAGAATTTAGGAAATAAAAGAGCAATTCGATTAATTAACGGGACAATATACATTAGTGATGTGAGCCATTAGTGCTGTAACAATTAAAGGACAATTAATTGATTCATCAATATAGAATAAAGAAAATACATATGTATGATTTTAGAAGACATTTCCTCTGAATTTTCTAAAATATTTAAAATTTTAATTTGTCGTAATTTTATTGACTTAATACAATGATGTTAATTGTTATTTATAATCAAATTATTATTTGCGAAACATATTATACAACACTCACATGCCATGCACACTAGGAGTTGTCTTCCATACCAGAAAATGGAACTGTGACATGTTCGATGTTTGACCTCAGCTCTGCCCCTGCTCTTTATCGATCCAGCTAACTGTGGCTAATGCTACTTTAACAATTCCAGAAATAGTTCCTGGCTCAACTCATTAATCCATTTAAACACATCATTAATAGGATAACAATGATACAACCATGATTCTTGCCATTATTAAAAAATAATGGATATTATTATTAATTTTCACCTTTTCCAGCATATGTCAGTTGACCTTCATTTCCTACAAATATTTTGGAATTTAAAGGTTTTTCAGTAATTGATATAAAATGAATGCTAATGCTGCAGTGCATTGACAGCACCAAAAGGATTTATTGGGCTTCTCCGTGGTATTTCTTTGTAGCAGAAACCTGCTGACACCGAGGTGAGTTCTCTCCCATCCTGTCCCCCCCCCTCAACACACACACATATCTACACACTTGAATGTGGGGCGACAGGCATCACTTCTCATCGCGCTGGTGCGTTTGAGGCCTCGGAGCGAACGCGGTGCTACAGCTCTGAGCTCTGAGCCGGAGACAAGTGAAGTGGAAGCGATCTCTCCTCCTCACATGCAGATCAGACTCATTCCCTGTTAAAGGCTACTTCTCAACACAGTAATGGCCAGTGCAGTAGACCAGCACAGCAACGTAACACAGTTCATAAGATCATTCATGAGGCGGAGAATGATGATGTCATGTCACTTGTGCAAAGTGCTTTACATTACATCCTCAGAATAAGCCTTGCTATCTAAACATGGCTTTTAAAACATCATTTCACTCGTTTGTTTCCTCTTAATAGCTTTATTGTTGGAATACTCATGTTATTCCAGTATTTAATCCAACTTTCTTTTGTGTAAAATGGTTTGCTAGAACCTTGCTGACAAAGTTATCAAGTAACGGCTAAATGCGGATTAGAAATCCTTTCCTGATTAAAATTATAACCTTTTTCAAATATTTAATTAAATGTAATAACATTATGAAGTAAGATGGATATTATTTTACTGTTGAAAATCAAATTCCTCTGGCAACATATTTTTTAAAACAAGTATTTCTTCTTGACCATTGAAATTTGGAAGAGATAACAAACTACATCAAATGTTAGCGCCATTGATTATTATTGTTTATTATTTCCACTGATAAATCCCAACACCATAAAAACGTATCCAGAGCGTTTTGCCAACACCTTTTCTGTAACATTCCTGTAATGCAGTTTCCTGTTTCCTATCAACAACATGTATGACTGTACAGATCTGTATAGTGTCACCCATTATATCTCAAGATGGAGCAGATTACTGATATCATAGCAACAATAAAGCGTCAAATTGACTTTAGCTAAAGATAAAGCTACATGTCTATATTACAGCAGACTAAGCCGATAGGAAGTACATTGTAATAATCTCATTAAAGGATTTCATAATACTATGTTAATGAGGTTTCATCTTGTTTGCACGGGACTAATATACAGTTAGTATTCAGGCATAGTAGCCCCTAGCGCTCAAAGGAGAACATTTTTTAAAAGCAAGAGAAATCTAAGGAACTGAAGCAAATATGAAAAGTAAAAAACATGTTTGAGATAATGATCTTACGATGTGAGAAATTGAGTTAAAAATGTTTATTATTTAAAATGATGTCACTAGCTGTTGCTTCCCTGTGTGGTTACAGAAGCTCCTGAATGAAAAAACAACATTGGAACAGGCAGAAGTAAAGCAGGAAGAACCGGCAATGGCCATTGGAAAGCTCAACCGCCCTCCTAAAAAGGTTCATGGGAAAGAATTGAAAGGCCCTCCGTTCATCAGTAAACCAGAAGTCATCCTCTTCAAGGTACCGCACTGCTGCTTCTGTAGAAAGCACGTCCTGAAATGTCTTGTGTGTCATGTACAGGTTTCCCATGTAAAACTATGTTAGTCGAACTAAATGTTCTGTTTTAGGACTTCGAATTGGGTAAAACGTATAAGAAGAAAATCGTCCTGACTAACATCAGCTACATCACCAACCACTGCAAGCTGCTTGGGGTCTCGACCCACCTGAAGGATTTCATCACTATCAAGTAAGATGTTATACTGTCACTAAACACACACCAGTGACCACAGTGCAGTGCAAATCATGACAAAAACAATCACTAGGACAGTATGCAAATAAATGCTTCAGATGACATCACTTGAGGCGATAGATCAGATTTGACGCCTGTGTTTCTACAGTATGCATTATAACTTCCCAAGTACCCCTTAAACAAGCGATACAAAGCAACAGAGACTTTCAACCAATTACATAACAATGTTTGATTGTGTTATGCTGTTTCTCCCTGCTTCTAGTCTCTGAGTTAAACTTGGCGACACATCACTTGGACCTAACTCTCTACATCGGGTCTAAGAAAATAATTGTTGACCTGTCTTTTGAAAGTGAATCTACAATTTTACAATGCACTCATAATACCATCTTTTCACCCCCTGTCTGAAACGGGAACCCAGTCTGCTCTGATTGGTCAACTGCTTACTCTTTTGAAAATGTCCCACCCTGTAGCCCATCACGTACAATATGTTGGAGCGCTAGCCAATAGAAGCGCGAGTGTAACAAAGTGATGTCACTATGTTACTGAAGTAAACAAATGAATCAAATGGAGGCGTTTCAGGCAGGGGGGGGGGGGGTAGTGTGTGGGAGAGAAACTCCCGCTGGAGGGAACACAGGGATTTTAGCATTTGCAGACCATTTACATGCACAACAATAGATACAGAACACACGAGGAAAAGGGAAAACAGCTAAAAGCACAATAGGCCCTCTGTAATGTAGCTATTTAAAAATCAGATTGATTGATTCTATGTATGGATTATCAGGCAAAAGAAAAGCAAAGGATGCTTGGAAAGAGTGTTTCAAATTCAGGTTTTGTGACGATAGCTACAGGTGTTGGGTTTAAATGTTAAAGCTCCTACATACTGCATTTTTGACAGCTTTAACTACCACATGGCAACATCTGTTGATGCATCACCACTCAATACCACCACTTGTTGTCATGTAAAGAGACCATGGAGTGGACGTGAAAGCAGAGCCTGTCCTCCCACATATGGACGCCAGCTTGGCTCCACACGATCTCAGCTCCTCTCATGAGACTCAATGAGTCAGTCTACGTCTCTGCCTTCTCCTGCTTCTTTCTCTCCGCCTGCCAGCAGCCCACAGGCAGGGGAAGAGATGCATTGTTCTGCAGGTCACTCGCTGTGTATCACTTTCCCGTCAGCTCCCCCGTGACTTGATGTGGTTTCTTCTTCTCTCTTCTTTCTGCCTGACTGAGCGAAGAGTCTCCCAGGCTACAGCGGGGTCAGCCGGAAACTACTGATGCCGTTCTTCTCCAGCATTAGCATTGGACCACTTGTCTGAACACATCACTTTATAGTTCTCTGATCTTAACTCACATGTAGCAAACATGCACTTTCACATACTGTGTGTGTGTTGATTAAATCCACTCATCTTGCCATCTCTCTTTCATGTTACTGACAATACATCTCTCTTCAGATAGTTCAGGATAAAACACAATTTGAAAGTAAAAATAGTTCGAAAATGAATAAGATTAATACACATACTTACAACAGGAGCTCCCTGTTGTTATGTGTTTACATTAGATTCATCAGTTCTGAAAGATACATACAAAATGTCTTCATGATAAAGCTTTATTAGTTTCCCCACCAGATGGTTTGTTACACAAAGACATTGGAGAAGCCGACAATGGAAACAGTTTGGAAAAGGGGAGGAACTTTCAAGAAACACTTTTCATGTGATCGGATGAACAATCTAATGAAGTATACACATATCTATCCACTCTAGAAACCCCTCAGTGCCATTCTTTGCTGTTCTTTCTAAATTGGGAAATAACTGGTGCTGATGCAGCCTCTCTAACCTCTTTAGGAGCCGCCATTAATGTTTAGAATTCAAACACGCTGTTGTTGTTCATTTGTTCAGGCTTCTGAAACGTATTCCTGGAAGCCTGACAAGAACGGTTATTGTGTAATATCGCAATAATGTGCCATACTCAGCCACTTCATTAATATTCCCTGAAATGAATGAAAGGAGTAAAATAAGTCAAATAAATTCAATTCAAAAGCTATAAAGCCCTAATTCAGATCAATACAATCAGGGGTTTTGCTTATAAAGCCTTACATGGTATGGTTTGACCAGTTATAGCCCCCGTCAACCAGCATGCTGTTAGATGGCCATCTCCCAGAACCCTGACATTTTAGTCACTCTTGGCTCATATCACTTGTTACAGCAGATCCTGAACTCCCCAGATGGCAGGCAGTTTTTGTACAGATTTACAAGGTGTTGGGAAAAATGATGTTACCAATCAAAACACCAAATACCAAGACAAAGACAGTTTTCTTTGTTTAAAGTATGCATCAACACAAGACATGTTGAGCCAAAGTTGTGCAATTTTTCTTCCCCGCCCACAAATGTTGCTCAGCAGCAGTAAAGTGAACTAACGTTTTATTGAGAATGTTTGTTTTAATATAGCTTCAATTCAGCAGGTGTTGATTGTCCTCGCATTGTATTGACTCCAATGGATAATGTATTTGTGTCTTAGTAATCTGAGATTTGTGATGCTTAGCACCTGTCTGACTTTGTTTCTGTGTTTGCATATAAGTAGTAGTCTAGAATGTTTTACTTAATTAAACAAAATCTAATAGAAATTGCTTTATCATAACTTATACTTTATTGATGTTTTAGCTTCTATTTGGATTCATTATGATAACTTAATAAAGATGAATCCTTAACATTGAAAGCTTTCATTTAGGGCATTTTGTGCATGTTCCTTTAATTCAATAATTTGATCTGCTGTGTCCCCTCTCTACTGGGTCAAAACAACCGCCCAGGACTGCCAGAATTGGTGTTCGATAAACTAGTACTAATATTGGTACTCGACAAAATGTAACAATTTGAGGATAATGGAGCATTAACTAGTAAGAAAACCTTTTAAACTGTGTTTCAGTAATCATCAAAAAAAGCAACTTGATCTGTAAGGTATCCTAATAGTCATTTTGATGCCAATAGAAACTGGTGTAAAATAATGTATCTGAAATGGTTGAATCTTTTCAAAGGCAACAAAACATGTCTCTCACTTGGGTGGAGTAATGTAGAAAATTGCAGTTGCTATTGATAATAGATAGGCTATTTAAAAATCATGATTTGTTTAGGATGTGTCAAGCTATTCTCTTACCAAAATGTGATCTACAGTTGTTTGGAACCACGGTGATATCATTTACTATCCACAACTTTTGCTAATGAAGAACAAATAAACAGAGCGAGTCCAAAAATGCATTATTTAGTACGAACATCAGTCAAAACCGCAGTGGAGCTTTATTTCCTATATCATGCCAGTGTATCCTTCTTATTTAAAACAATCACCTAGGACTACTACGTTTTTCGCGTAGGGCAAATACCATTACCATGCAGGAACAAGCATTATATTCTAGCAAAGTATTCTAAGTCAAGAGATCAAGCTCTCACACACTACAGAAACAGTATTCAGGTAATCTTCACAAGCATTGTCAGAGACTTGATGCTTCACTGTAGATCGCCTTCTGACATGGTTAAGAGCGTGGGGGGGGGTGAGCTCTGCTGAACTGAATAATGATCTGAGCATGCTTATTGATTTACTGTAGGAGAAACCAATGGGCCATCATTTAAAATAGAACACCCGGCATAGTTAGTAATACTGTACAGCCACGGTCCCAGCTTCATCACTTCAGTTGACTGCAATAAATATGGTGTACAGTATATGGCCTCGTTTGCAGTGCGTTATATAGGGCTGGAACGGGCTTTCTGAAACACTGCCTCACTTAGCATTTAATCCCAAGTGAACTGCCCTATATAATCGTCACGTTTATCGTCACGTGTATTTTCATACCAGCTGTCCTGAAGCCATGAAAGATGAATGGTACCAATAAGGATGGAAATTAGCATTAAAGAAAAACAAATGCTGATGAAGGTTCAATGTGACATTTATAATTAGCAACAGATTCACCATGCTAGATGGAATGCTTTCATACACTTCCAGGTCACAGTGATGAGCTGGATGGCAGATCCAGGCAGCCAAAATGACAGCTGGACCAACAACTTCAAACCAAACACTTATCCGTTGCCCACTGGTAGTAATTCCTAATTGTCTCAACCAAGTTTGAATTAAGCTGTCCAACAATGAAGCATAAATCCCCTTTTGTCTTTCTCAAATTGAGTTTGAAGATGTCCACTGCTGTTCAAACCATGTTTCAGCAAAAGCCACCCAATCAGGTTCTCCTGCAGTTTCAATGTCTTTAAATGTTCTGTTCTTCAACAGACACATTTTAAATTGTTTAGTTCTGGAAAAGTTTGTTTGTATCGTAGGCAGAGTAGACGGCAGCCTGCTACACAACACAAGATCCACAGAATTCAAACAACTTCCCACAACCCATTAGCTTTCCTGCTAAATGATACTACTATCATATTAGCAAACATGACCACATGTGTTGTCTCACTTTTAGCTGAAGTGACGGAACAATCATCCACCAGGGAAAAGTGCCCTGTTAACGTCAGGCTAGAGAGCTAATTGGCTAGTCAGCTGCAGCCCATTCAAAAGCATGTCAATGTCACTCTGGTCATGTTAGATGTGTGGTCCTTACAACTCGTTGTTTTCCCATGACTTGTAGCAACAGCGAAGGTTAGCTTACTTTGTCTCTTGTTCATACAGTGTAAACAATTGGTGGACCAATCAGTTTACAGCTCTGTCATTTGGGACAAAACTTCCTGCAAATATTAGAGGACGTTAATAAAGGAGGCACTGTAATCAGAGAAAGATTCACAACACTTGAATGCCTTATTCTTGGTGATATCATTGAATAAGTACGCACATCAAAAAATGCACATGGATATATTTGCATATGTGTTAAAAAAAAAAAAAGAATTTCACTTTGACTTTATTCACCCCATGCTGTCCTGTATTAATTGTGTATCTGTTTATCCTTGATTGATGTGTAACAGAAGGAAAAGTGCAGAATTAATTCTCCTTCCTCACAGAGTGTGGCAAGTTGACATAAGAAAACTAATATGAACCCTTTCCAGCTTTGTTTTGAACTACCTGCAGGCCAACATCTCATAATTTATACATGAAAACACCCACTGCATGCATGAACATGTCCAAATGAATACGATGAAACCTTTATGAAGGCCGTAAGACAAAGGCTTGGTATATTTTATGTATTCTAACTGTAGCTTCTTCCTCATTATGGTAGTAGTTGAATTTATTTTTCGAGCTTATCTATTTATTTTTCAGAATCCTCCGTGCTCCTCTGGCTGGCTGCCTGCTATATTCATATCGATCGGCTCTCCTCTTGTGTCTTTCGAAGGGCGGCAAGTTGTGAATCTCCTCAGGCAGCTTGGTGTTGGTGTAAACATGTGCTGTGAGATACACATGTTGCATTGAAATAGCTCACAGTGCTCATGGTTCTTTTCTCGACTGGAAAGAAACATTTGGTAACAGTGCGATAATAATATAAAATGATACCAAACCATCTGTTCTACAGTGCAGTGTTTTCCTAAGGAACAATAGCTTTTGTTCACCTCTTCGTCTTGTGCGTGGTTGAAACTGAGCATCAGGTTGACTGTTGACCTCGGCTCTTCAGCTTATCCGCTCTCAGGAGATTTTGCATTTGATCTGAAGCAGCTGCTAATGCTGGTATTCTGAATGTATTTCCTCCTGAAGTTGCACGTACTTTCTGTGGTGTTCTTGTTTTGTCTTGTTTTCTGTTATTTCTGTTATCTACATGTGTGAAGCCACGCAAAGACGAAACAAACACTGCTTTTAAATTGTGTTACTCATATCTTGAAGAAAATGTCTTAACTGTGTAATATCCATATTTATATGCTGTTGTGGGTTTTTTTTGTTGAAAAATGCAGATGTTCTTATTCAGAACTTGTGATTTGACTTTCAGCTTTGATCCACCTGGTTCTTTATCCACTGGGATGTCCTGTGACATGCAGGCTGTTTTTCAACCTATGGTTAGTAACACCCCCTCCTTTCAAACTTCTACACATTTGATTGTTAAAAGACTGAAGACTTGTTGTGTTTTTAATCCTTTTTATATCTGTGAAATGTACAAAAAACAAAAAAATATATTAGTTATTAAATGGAATAAACCATTGTTCAGACTTTCATAATACTGTATATAAATAATACATGTATTTCCTTTCAGTGCAATCAATGGCACATTTTGTGTTGTGTTGACTGTTCTTTTCCACATTGGATTTAAAACTGAGTAATTAACACATTAAGGTGCTAGCGTTTTATTTGAGTGTTTTTACATCCACATCAGATGAACAGTGTAAGAGTTACACAATGGAGTCTTGGCTTAATCCTGTGGCTCTGTATATCATACTCTTAGACATGTATGAGCTGTGCAAGGCAACAAGAGGTACAGAGGACTGAGATATTCCCTGCAGCACCTTTATAATATTTCAAATAAGATCTAAAATGATAGTTCAATCCAAAAACAGTACATACATGTAACCTTGTGAAGAATGAAAATATTGGAAGTTGTTAAACTTGTATACAGCTTTCTTCTGTTTCTCATCAGCAAAGTCAAAAGAACTATCTGCTCGCTGTCATTCGACTTTAAGAATGAAATGTCTGTGGATTTATCTAATATCAAAGTTATGGCGTTATGAAGCAACACATTGTCCCATGATCTGATCACCTCAGATCAACGAGGATCTGGAGGGAGAGGTCCGGTTTGCATCAGCAGTGGGTCCCTTCTCTGTGCCCGTCAGATGCACCATAAAGAAATGTGATGTGAGTCATGCTGTGTAGCACTCCTAGAGGAAATTACATTCAAATGACCAATGTTATTTTCATGCTTTGCTATTTTTCTAGCTTTGCATATTTTTGTGAGCGTTTGGGTATACCACATCGTATTTATTGGCCTTATAGTAATATAAGGAAAAATAGGATAAATAAAGTATCTATCTATCTATCTATCTATCTAATATAAGAGAACATTGGAACAATAATTATGGAACAAATATGACAACCTAATGCAGTATTTGTATATGTATTTATGTATGTTAAACTCTGTACTTAAAAAAATCGTCATTGCTAACGCTAATTTCTGTATATAAATGTATCCTCTCTCTAGATGAAAGTTGACAACCAGTTCATTGACTTTGGTTCGCACGTAGTCGGCCAAACTGTTTCATGGACTATCACCTTGACCAACAAGGGAGCTCTGGCCAGCCGCTTCAGCCTGGACACTTCCGCGTGTCTCAGTCCAGAAACTAGCCACGTCCAGATGGCATCCCATGTCTCTGCCAACACCAGCCAGGTCAGCCTTCTGATCTGAAACTCGAGAGTTGCTTTTTGTGATGGCCTTATGGAGAAATTGTAATGCTACAAATTATAAACTAGATACAGCATATATGATGAATGTGTAGTCAATTCAAATAACGAGGTCCAAAGACACTCCTATAAATAAACGTTCATGTATAAAGTCTGATGAGTTGCTGTTTGCTGACAGGAAACAAGCAGTCCAAACACAACATCTGACTCTGTATCCATGGGGACTGGCAAACTCCAAGCAAAGGAGGAGAGTCAGGAGCTTTCTGAGCTCCCAGGTAATTCTGTTATACAGTTGGGGCCCTGGTTCCAATCCAACCAGGGGCCCTTTGCTTCATCTCATCCCCTGTCTCTTTCCCCCCTTCCTAGGTTTTTACTGTTGTGTTTATATAATAATAGCAAAACGGCCCAAAACATAAAACGTTTTAGAAAAGCACAACAAAAAGTTGTTAAGTTGTTAACATTCAGTATGCACAAACGCCCAAAATATTATTAAATGCCTGTCACTCAAAACCCAATCCATGTCATGCTAACTGGTGATGCTAAATTTGGTATAATTTCTTTCCTTTTTCTCCGCTACCCATATGTATCACGACCATTCCACACAACCTTTCAGTAATATCCAGGTAAACATGACAACCTTAATATTTCTCTATAACTGTAACTAAGTTCGGCAAAAATACAAGATAAAATGTCAAAATAAGCAGCAATTAACTTGTACTAACATTGTAAGTTTGCTAATGTTAGTTAGCTAGGCTAAAGTTAGCAAACGAACTTTAGCACAACAACAACAACAGATACAAGCTAGCCAGCTAGCTTACGTTAGCAAACTCCAAGTTATTTGCTCTTTAACGTCACTTTATAAACTTAGTTATATTATTAAAAAAATTACTTGGGTGTAAATGGTTGAGGTTGTTCAGCTTTTTTCCATATTGATTCGTGTTCACCAACACGATTTTCGCATTTTTTTCGTGTCACACAGAACGATTTTAAAAGCAATGTATTTCTATTGGTAGTATGTTTAATGCCTGCACCACGTCTTTTTGTCCGGTCGGGTCTTGGAATACCAGAAGCTGTGTGGTTCATAAAAACATTTTCTCACTCAATATATTACCCTAAGCCTAACCCTATCCCTTTTATTTTAAATTGTATAATGTCGGAGTTTTTTTGCCGTCCGCGAGGAAAATAAATGGGGCTCAGAGCCTCAGAATACTGAAATCTGTATTTGTTGTCATTGTGGTGACCACCTATTTAACCACTGGGACATAATTCAAACTTGGAACTACAGTTGCGGTTATTGTTCCCACACGGACATGTTATGGGTTACCTATAAATAGTGTGTGCCCTCTTGGCTCTCTCTTGTCGACCCGGGCTGCGACCCGACAACATGTCCTTTGCAGCTTGTGAATAAATTACTATTCTTGCACCTTCCTTGCACCGCCTCTGACTCCATATCTCTCGGCACTACACTGGTGACCCTGATACGTCTTGAGAAGTTTCCGGGACGGAGCCGAACACGGCAAAAGGAACTCGAGTTCCTTTCTCGAAATGCCGGGGTTTGATTGGAGATGTCCGTGGCTGCCACCGGCACGCGGACTGAGGCTCGGTGCGCGCTCCGCAGAAGGCTGGAGACGTTGCTCGCCGTTCCCGCATTGGCTTTCTATCCAACGGGGGGGACGATGCACGACCTGCTGGGTCGACCAGCAACCCCATTGCTACCTCGTGGGTTTGTTCTTCGGGGCGTGCGGCTGCACATCCCGGCTGCTAACCACGTGGGGCTAACGACGGCTGGCAGCTACCCATGGCTGCCAGCTAGCGGCTAACCACGTGGGGCTAACGACGGCTAGTGCTAACGGCTATCGGCCCTTTTGAGTTTTTTTTTCTGGTGCCGGAGAGGAGGTTCGACCAGCCGGTTGACCTCATGTGGACACTCTCACCTTTTTCACCGCCTCGACGGCGGTTCCAGACACCACTCACGTTTTCATCGACGCGTGGGTGGTGCACTCCTGGACCCCGTCTCGCCTCGACGGTTTTGGACGTCGCCCATGCTGCCATCGGCCCGTGGGTGGCGCGCTCCGGAGCCTGTCTGTTCTCTCCTGCCTTCCGGGGATATCCAGACGCCACTCACGTTCATCGGCGCCTGGGTGGCGCACTCCTGGACCCCCTCTCGCCTCGACAGTTCCGGACGTCGCCCATGCTCCATCGGCCCATGGGTGGTGTGCTCCGGGACCCTGTCTGGCCTCTTCTGCTTCCCGGGGATGCCTCAGCGCCTGCTGAGGACTTCATGCCCGCCGCCGCAGCACGTCTGTCTGCGGCCGGGTTGCTCGCCTGCTTCCCGGGGATACCTCAGCGCCTGCTGAGGACTTCATGCCCGCCGCAGCGGCACGTCTGCCTGCGGGCCGGGTTGCTCTCCTGCTTCCCGGGGATACCTCGACGCCTGCCGAGGACTTCGTGCCCGCCGCCGTTGCACGTCTGCCTGCGGCCGGGTTGCGCTCCTTCCTGCTGGGTTCTCCGCGACACCTACTGCGGCCCGTTCCGGCCCGCCCCCGGTGGGGGTGCCCTCGCCCTCGTTAGGGCCCCTACCCTCTCCTGCGGCCCCCTTTCGTGGCCCGTTCCATGGCCCGGTCCTCACCTGCGGCCCCACCCTCCTCGGCCCTTGTGGTGCTTCTTCCACGGACGTGGGGATATATTTTTTTGCCATGTTTGAATTCTGGGGGGGCTTGTTTGGTGATCACCTATTTAACCACTGGGACATAATTCAAACTTGGAACTACAGTTGCGGTTATTGTTTCCACACGGACATGTTATGGGTTACCTATAAATAGTGTGTGCCCTCTTGGCTCTCTCTCTTGTCGACCCGGGCTGCGACCCGACAACATGTCCTTTGCAGCTTGTGAATAAATTACTATTCTTGCACCTTCCTTGCACCGCCTCTGACTCCATATCTCTCGGCACTACATCATCTTTTTTTCCTTCTAATTTGTTATTATTTGGTGCAGGCACGAAACATACTACCAATAGAAATACATTGCTTCTAAAATCGTTCTGTGTCAGAATACTGAAATCTATATTTTTTGTCATCTGTTTTTCCTTCTAATTTGTTATTATTTACATTGCTTTTAAAATCGTTAGACTGTGTGACACGAAAAAATGGCGAAATCGTGTTGGTGAACACGAATCAATAGATTACATTCGTGGCTATAATGCCGTGAGACTGTGTTGTGCTATCGTACCCTGATGATTATCTCTGTCATACCCAATTTCAGATTTCACTTTTCCTCCCAAGCTAAGGTCTCTAAAGGGTCCAACAGTTTAGGTTGGCCCCAAGCCTGGAGCTCTCTAGCTAGACCCTTCTCCTCAGAGCAGTTAAAATGGCTGTAGACTCCTGGTGTCGTTGTATAATATTTATCAGAGTTTTGAACCAAATCAATAAGTTTGCAGTAGGATGTAGTAGTGCTGGGGGGAAACAATTATTTTGAAAACGATTAATCGGGCGATTATTTGATCGATTAGTCGACTAATCGAACGATTATTTTTCTGTTGTTCAATTCATAAAAAACGTAATGTAAAAAAAACGTAATGTAAACAAAAAAAATTTCACGATACTGTGTCTCAGGGGATCTTAATATTTAAGAACCTATTAATGTGTTATACCAGATTAACGGAAATAATCTCAGCTAATTGACGATACAAACCATGTTTACCAACACAAAACAAAACACAAGTCTCATAAGAAGCAAACTAAAATGCTATCTAAATGACCCCTCAGCGAAAAATGCTAACGGAATTGGCACAGAACTCAAGATAAAAGTACCCTTATTACTTATCGTAGCTGCACATACAATATATCCGATTAAAGCTGAGACTCCACAGATTATGTAGGTGCATAGTATCATCACTGAGTGATCCGGACTCGCGACAGGGGAAGCAAATACAGTCATCACAACACGTACCTTCACAGAGCTTCTAGGGAGATCGTCTCACCGCCGTAGCTGTCAATCTGATCAAAATACGTGTTCAATGGCATTAAAATGAGAAAAAACGCGGCTGAATCGGTTAATCCATAGGTTTTTAACGTCTATGTATAAACAAATTATTGAATTTATAATCCATAATTCCATTTTTATGTAAAAATCGGAGAGCAAATGCTAGCTGCTAATGGTTGCCACCACAGCTAGCTGCTGCTTCCGGTCAAGCAGCAGTCTCAGTGAGATATAAATATATAAATATCTTTGCGTTTTGGACTAACTTTAAAATATTCCCATGCTTTTGAAGACCTAGGGCGAGATGTTTTCGTTTGAGGGCTTCGTGCGCAATCCTGTGAGGAGGAGGTGATAGCCGTTTCAGTCTCCATTGTGTTAGAAGTGCGATTGCGAACTGCTTATTGCTTTGGGTGACCCACGTGTGTGTGGCGACCATATATACAGTCTATGGTGGCGACGCGTCGACGCGGAAATATGTCGTCGACGATATTTTGAAGTCGACGCGTCGCTACAGCACTAGGATGTAGTGACCTTTTCAAAATGTAACATCTTTAACACCCACAATCTTTCCCTGGCCTTAGCCAAGTGTTTTGAATGCTAAACAGAGCCATAATCATGCTTTAGTTACAAGAAGCTGTGTTGTAGGAAGAAAAATAGACTGACAGTAAATCAGTGTTATGTTTTACTGTTATGTTTATGAAAATACAGCAGTATACTAATCATATTCGCATTTGCAGTTATACGAATATAATTTGCGAAGGACTGTTTCCTAAAACAGCCTCTGAAACACAGGAACTAAGAACAAAATCTCCTGTTGTGGGTGATTTCTCTCATCTCTTTATTCCTGTTAGGACATGCAGTCCTTGTGAAAAAAAAAAGAACGCACACACAGAACGTGGAGGGTTCACCTTGCTCTCACAGCTGATGACAAGGAGGCATGTTCTCTTGAATGTTCCCTCAGATCAGAAATCTTCATCGCTGCACTCAGCAGTTTCCTCCACTGATGCTTTGATAAGCTGCTCAGTCTTTCTCTGTTCTGCTGGTTTGGAAAAGACTGAGTCTATTTTTCTATATTTACCATTGTTGCGAAAGGCTGTTTGATCCAGGCAGAATTTATAGGCTGCTGACGTTACTGAATATGTTGCCTGTATTTGCTTTTAATGCCACCAATATCTCTTGAACTAATGGCCTGATAGGCATCACATTGAATGCGCCTATTCATGCTCCCAAGATGAGGTTTATTATTTTTCTAGGCCATCTGTCCAAATTCTGATGTGCTACTGTATCTGCTGTACCTTGCTCTAATAACACACTATTTGAAGTGCTCCCTCATACTGCCAGTAGGAAGAAGGCGTCTGATTTTGGTGCCCCTCATGAGCTTTCTCTTAGTGCCACCATGAGGCCGAATTTTGGGTTTTTCAAACCATAGATCTATCGAGTTCACAGTGTTGTTGTTTTTGGAGGGTTGGCTGTTATCCCAAGACAGGTTGATCACTCAGCTATACTGTGTGTGTGTGTGTGTGTGTGTGTGTGTGTGTGTGTGTGTGTGTGGTGTGTGTGTGTGTGTGTGTGTGTGTGTGTGTGTGTGTGTGTGTGTGTGTGTGTGTGTGTGTGTGTGTGTGTGTGTGTGTGTGTGTGTGTGTGTGTGTGTGTGTGTGTGTGTGTGTGTGGTGTGTGTGTGTGTGTGTGTGTGTGTGTGTGTGTGTGTGTGTGTGTTGTGTGTGTGTGTGTGTGTGTGTGTGTGTGTGTGTGTGTGTGCAGAAGCTATTCCTGAGACTTGTGTGTCCACTGATGTGGATGCCCAGATGGACCAGAGCAACTCCGACTTTGGTGACATAAGTCTAGGAAATGTAAGTATTTCAATCTTATCTTTAACAGTCAAAATTATGTTGACGATTCCATTGCTTTTTTTATAACTATTATTTTATAACTTCAAACCCTGACAAAATGAATGGCATTCCCATCAGATTTTGCTCTGTTTATCTTTGGTGCTTATTAGCAAATGTTATCATGCTTACATGCTCAAGTAAGGTACAGATTCCTACCTGCTGAACATAAGCATTTTAGCATTGTCTCTGTGAAAATGTTAGCATGCTGACGCTAGCCTTCAGCGCAAATCACTGCAAAAGAAGGCCTAACAGGACTGCTAGTATGACTTTAGAACTATTAGGTACAAATAGTACAACACAAATAATGCTATTAGCCATATACATTTACAATGAAATAGTTGGCGTATTCAAAGAGTAAGTGGCAACCCAGACTTTCCAATTATCATTGTGAAACCTATGTTGTACAATTCATGAAGCTACAGTCCATTGTACTCACCTGTCTACACCTGTATACAGACTACAAGTGTAGGTGGCTTTAGACAACATGTCAGGGAATTATTCATAGATTCATCATCTATTAATGACGATGAATAGCTGTTTCACGACTGCTTGACCGATAAAACCTTCCCTGTGGCTGGCTGCATGTATAGGAAATGGTTATATTTGAAGTTATTGGACTTATCTGTGTAACTAGACCAGAGAGATACTCAATCTATTTCTTAGACAGATTATTATTTGCATCTGTGGAAAACTTCCTGCCTCTCCGTTTTGTTTTTAGCTCAGTGTGCCTTGTGGCCCATGTGAAGTTGTGGAGTTGTTCAGGGTTCATTACGTCTCTCTGGTGGGGGGCTAATGGTGTGCTGCCTCTCCCTCTGCGCCTGTGTGTGTGCGGCATGTCTGCATGCCCGTGGCTCGATTATTGTCATTATGAGGGATACTTTCACATTGTGTGGTTGAAGGCTGGTGTCTTGTATGGCAGATTATCCATCATGTTTTGTTGTCACACCATATTGAGTCTGTTGCTGCACGATTGGCTCACTCTTTAGTTTTTTATTATTGCTCTCACCACCTTTATGCCTTGGAGCTGAATAACAATCGCTTCTCACTGTAGTATGATTAAATGCTATTTAAGAGAACTGAGAGATTTCAGCTTCCCCTACATTGACAGAAATGGTTTGTGTCGTGGAATAAAACCGTGAAACCGAATTGAGCCAGATAAAAGCTTTTGGAGCTCAGTTAAAAACACTCAAGGTCATAGGCTAACTTTTGTTTTAGTGAGATGTTCATCTGAGGAAAATCGTCATCTTGTTTTGTGGAATAATTTTCGACTGTAACATACAATATGTCATGTTTGATGTACCCTCCTTCTAGGTAAAAGAAGGGGAAATTGGTCCTTTCGAAAGCATCAGACTGGAGGTCATATTCACTCCAACCATTCCAGGAGAGAGCAAACTGGACTTCCACATCAGATTCTCTGACTTAACCAGCAAACCAGTAAGACACTACGATTCTATCACCTTGGGAATGTAATTAAAAACAAGATAAGGGTAGACATTACAAAAATGATAGAGCCATAGAGAGACTGTTATTCTATGTAAACCAAACATTTTTTGTACCTACAGATACCCATCCAGGTGAAGGGGGTGGCAGTCAGCGTCCCTGTCTGGGTGGTTCAGCCCAGCATTGACCTGAAGATCTGCATGTTTGATCGCCTCTATCAAGACAGCATCGTGGTCCAAAGCAGGTCGGTCCCATACACTGTGATTACTGACTGATTTTCCATGTAGATAAACCCCTTGATGCAGAAATGTTGTTGTGAAACCTGCACTGTTGCACTTGTGTTATTTTTGTTTCCTGCTAAGCTCCCAATCATAACCCAGAATTGTGTTCTGACGTCTCACTTATTTTCATCTATACAACAGTACCTAGAAGTTGAAAATGTTTTGTATATCTACTTATTTGTTGTTGAAATGAATCAGGAAATCCCTACAGTAAAGTTTCAAATGTAGCTGTGTACCTTGTTAGCTTAATTCCTGTGTCATACTTAACACTATAATACAATAAATGTAATTTAATGGAGAAATCCACCCGAGACATTTGAAACAGACGCTCTGCCCTTTTTATTGAATACAACGTGTTTTATATCCCGTGTTGATGCCCAATTGGTTTACATCCATTGACACATCTGTCTTGACGAATTAAGGGCAGTGAGACGTCATTAGTTTTCATATCAGTGTCACTTTAAGTAATCATTGGTCACAGTTGGAGAACATAATGGATCAAGGGCAAACATAGTGTGCCAAGAAACTAGACGAAGCATTATCTGAGTTCCATTACTTTTAATGTTAGGTAAAGGTTGTAATTAAAAACAATAGGCAACAGTAATTGTGAAGGACAATGAGACCTCAGGGTGACTTTTATTTTACAGCCAGGTTCATTCTTTTTTTAAGCCTTCGTACTGTTTCAAATGTCCTTGTTTGTATTACATTTAGTTAACCTCATCGTTCTTTACTTTAGGTCAAGTTTTATTTGAGTCTGGGCATTTTTGTGTTATCTTAGTCAAATAAAATTAGATTTTTTGTAATTTTAGTCAATGAAATAGAGAAAAATAGTGAGATTTTGGTAGAGTTTATATTTTTTAAACTCCATTTTAGTCTTTTGCTGTTACACGATATTGCATGTTAATAATAATGCACACAGTATTTTATGACGTCGGACCTGCCTAATCTTTTTATCTTGGTCATGAAAAAAAAGGTTGTGGACCAACATACATACATTATATATTTCGTAAAGAAATTAGACAGTTTTAGGTGTTCCTTGGTTTCCTCATAGTTTTCTTTAAAATAAATCAAAATCACCTCTTTTAGGATGAGTGTAAGTGATCACCAGAAATCAGCAAGATGGAGCAGTGAAAATGCTCTAAATATAGCATGCACTAGTAGTGATTATTATTTTATTGGTTTTGTCGCTTCCCCCATCTAAAGCAATAAATGGCTTAATTTCCTTGCCATTTGGTGTTGGCGCGCTGACAGCCTTCTACTGTACCGTGTACCATTATAAAAACCCACTTAAAACATCCCGGCTATATCTGAAAGAGACAGTTTAAAACCCCTCAGCCCAATGAGATGACTGCAGAAGGGAGTGTTACATGTCATATTTTCATTTTAGTTGTTGTCATGCTGACTTATTAGGGTTTGGAAAGTGGCATGGACTGCTGATGTAGCATGTACTTATGTGCTAAAACTCCCTCACACACTCTTTGCCAAAGCAATCATTTCCACAGAAAACCGGCTCATTGAAATCCCAACGGACCAGTCCAGCTTACTTTTCAGATGTCCCAACATAAAACTCTCTTAACCATGCTCAGAGCCAAGTATTGAGATATTCTGCCTCAATAAAATACCAATGCATTATCTGATAAATATTCTTTTAACAAAGGATGACGCAATGAATCGAGTGGTAAGCTCACATCCCCACAATCCTCTTTGGTCCACACAATAGCACATGGTAACAGGAAATCCTTTGTGATTACGAGGTTAAAAATTCACCGGGGGCAGAGACATTTGCAGACGTGTGGTCCACCACCTAGCCTGTCATTGTGTCACATCACGTGGGGGAGGGAGTGCATGTGTGGGGGTGGAGGATTTGTGACAACTGCCATCTGGTGCGCTGGCACAACAGCTCATGTGACAAGATGACGGAGACGGCATCAGTGTGAACAGCAGGCTTTAAATACAAAAATGTTGACGCTTGGACCAGCAAACCATGCAATATGTCACCCTTCCTCCAACACTGTAATTTGAACAAAAAATAGGGAAACAATAAAAGAGCGGCTGCAATTTGTCACTTCTTCCTTTGAGTAGATGATGAGATATCGCACAAGTCCTTAGTTTGTGACAGATATTTATAAGCATAATTTAATATTATTATTTTCTGAGAGCTAGGGATTTTAACATTTTTTGCCAGCAAATCATTGGAATATAGTGCACACAGTTGGCAGAGTTTAAAAAAAAATTGGAACGGCAAGGCTTTCTTTTGCATCCTGGACTTTCAAACCCTCCCTGCTGGAGTTCAGCATTCCTGCCCAAACTCAGGCCACAAAGAAAACAACCAAGCTGCTTTTTTTTTCTTCACAAAGCCTTCTGTCCTTGATTTCTCTCTGTATGTCTTATATGCCTACTGTGCCTTCGTCCATCCTGTCTCCTATGTTGTTAGGCAAGAGGAATTTGTGTTAGTATTTGATGTTAGAGTTATTTTTTATTTAATTTTTTGTGATAATAGATTTATATCTTTCTTTTCCATGTGGTTATTTTGAAATATACGATAAGTCAATAAGCAGACAGTGCTGCATTATTGGGATGGTTCCATGCAAGTGTTTCCGTGAAGGCTTGGTTTCCCTTGAGGCTTGGGAGTACACATAGAGAAATGATCTGACTTCTGGCTATAAAACATCATGGTTATTGCAGGCACTCTGTTTCCCCACAAGAACATCAACATACTGACATGGATGGCACGGCTCTCACCAAATGGGGAAGACATCAACAAATAGACCATTTGATGATCAACTAATACCTCATTCACACCAACGCAACTCCGGTTCAAGCTCCGTGCTAGAGCTTTTCAGGTTCAGAACCGGTTCTTCGGTTTAGCGGAGGCTCTTTTCACACCGCCCAGAGTCCGACTGGTGCTGCGTCATTGCGTCATCGTTTGCGTCATGACGTAACCGTTTGCGTGCCTGCTTCATAAAGCCAAACCGCGCGGAAACCCCTCACAGCTGACACCGACAACAACAACAATGGCCGATTGTGCTCCAGCTTCCTCTGTACCTCTTCGGAAGACCAGATTCCCAGTAGGTAGCTGGTCTCTTCAGTGGACCACTGCTGCTTGTTAAGTTTCTCCATCGTTGTGTACAAGCTGGATAAAACGCGGGCTTCTTGTTGTTGTTCAGGAGTTGATCCCGCCCCTGCCCTTGCCCCCGCCTCGACGTAAGCGTGACGTATGTGGTGCTTTTGCTCTGGCCGGACAATTTTTTGGTGCTTGAAACGAACCGGATTCCGGAGCTAAGAGGCTGCTCCACTGCGGTGTGAAGAGGAAAACCCGGTGCTTTTCAAGCTCCAGCTCCGAACTGGCCCCGAAACACCGTTGGTGTGAATGAGGTATAAGAGGAGATGCTTGTTGAGAGATGTCAAAGTGTAAAGAGGAGTCTCTAGTGACCACTACTCTGATATAGCATCAAATTGAAGCGAAGGAGAGTAGGACCACCAACAGGAGGATCTCAAAGATTGGATGCATGCTGAAAGACCCATCCATGAAGAAGAAACATCCCAATACCAGAGTAGATATCAAGCCCCCTCGAATAATGCAAGGAAAGATGATGAGGAGCATGAGGCCAGGATCATCAAACATTAGGCAAACATATTTGAAATCTACGACAAAACTATCAAGAAACAACGTGGGAGATGGAACATGGGAGACTATGCAACAAACAGAAATAACATTACCAAATCACCTAGGTTCAAACAAGAACTACACGTTTAGTACCAAAACACCAACAAACAGGTCAAAAGGCCAGTAAGGAGTTGGCCTACCTTGAGGAAATGCAACTGAAAAAGCAGCTTTGTTATATTATCAAGGAACATCCTACAAAATCATCAATGTGATATGTGGAACACAATTTAGAACCAATTACCAAATCCATGACAAGCAGGGACAACTACTTAACGCTGAAAAGAAACAGGAGAAAAATGGACAGAGCATTTCAGAGGTTTTTATCTACAGAGATCTCCCCAACATCCAATAGAAACACAAGAATTTGCAGAAGACCTGGGCATCCATATGAACCAACCAACACAAATATATACTGTATGAAAGACATTAAATCCTTTGTATTCTAAACCAGATCAATAAAGCACTGGAATCTGGAAATCCAAGCAATCCACCACCAAAACCAAACTATGAATCTACCAACACTTTTTTCCATCAACACAACACTGTATATCCACCTTACAAACATCATGCCAATGTAGCATCTAGCATATGTTCTGGCCAAAGACAATCTCCAATAATAACTGTCTCAAAATAACCCATAAAGATGACATGCACTCCTTACTGAAAAGAGGCAGGTGGGTCTGGATTGGCCATGTGCTCACAATCAACTTCAAAGTAAGCCCTAGAGTTGCTTTACTCTGCACCCCAGGAGGTAAGCAAAGGAAAGGGAGGACCAAAATAACATGGCGCAGGACGATAGAGAAAGAATTCCAACACCAACCTCACAGTGGGGAAACCATAGAGAAATGGGCCAAAAACAGAGGGAAGTCGAGAGGCTTTGTTTCTTTGTTCTTTGAGTGAGTGAGAAAGATAACGTATTAAGGAAATCCTCTTGGAGGTGAATCTCACATTTTAAGTTAAGAAATGCTTTCCTAGAACACAGTTTCTGTTTTAATATGTAAAGCGACAACCAAATAAAACTGTATAATGTGCTGATTACATAATCATTGTGAGTTTTACCCCAAGGCAGCAAATGACGTGAAATGATGTTTAGTGACCTTTAAATCACGAGACATTGCTTCAGAAATAAGCTAGTCACAGGCAGCCAGTAAAAAAGATAGGATCAGCTAAATGCCCCTGTTAGTTAAAATTATAATTGCCCTAAATGATTATGTACCCATGAATACTCTTCTGAGAGTTTCTTGAAGGTTATCATTTGGCCTGAATAAAGATAGCGACTTAATACCCCCAAGTGTTCCTGAGAGTCCTTGCCTCGGGGAAACAACCATCTGGTTGACCTCTCTGTTCAAAGTGGGGCATTTCGTTTGAGAGGGGGAATCGAAAAATGAGGGGTCCCTTCGGTCGATTTCGCCACAGCTCACTCTTCGCTCACCTTTGTATCTCTGAGGACGAAAGAAGACATAGCTAAATGTTACACGCATTTCACCTCCAGCAAACAGGTTTATTTCATTGTGTTTGTACTGTCATCGTTGTCTGAAGGTGTAAACGTATGGGCTGTGGTTGGATGTGATGGAGAATTCCCAAGATGAAGAGCCATTTATAAAATAGCTTCAGCTATAACTGAGGCTTGTAGCCACAGGCACAACCATCTGGAGCTCCTGGAAAATGGGGTGACCTAAATGATTTGGACTGGGTGGTACATCAATCCATAAAAGGCAATTTGTCTGTCACTCAAACTAAAAGTATTTTCTCTGTCTGTTCTTCAGTCCCTGGGGGGTAAAAGGTAAAGATCCACTGGGCATTGCACCTGGCAGATGTTCTTTTGTTTTTGTTGCTGTTATATGAAATGGATGGCTCACCTCAACGCTGCTTTCATGTTGTCTTTTTTATGCCAGAAAAAGTCAACAGCATTTCCTGTGCAATATTGCCTGAGCGTTACTGCCTGTGCATTATTATTCAGTAGCAGCACAGACAGCCCTTGATAACCCCCTTTTTTTATACAGGTATGCACTTGCTGTGTTAGCATTAAGCTAATGAAACTATTGCATTACAGAGCCAGCACAGCCTTGAAGCTGACCTTTGAGGTGTGCCCGGAAATGAGGAAACACATGGAGATCCTTCCAAAGACGGGTTTCATCCAAGCTCAATCGAGATTCAACGCCCAACTCAAGTTCCTGCCGAGGTAAGGAAGGACACGCAGAGGATGCAATGATAATGGAACCACTGGAGCATTCATAATCTTATTTTAGACCTTAAGCTTGTTAAGATTCTATCAACCTTCTATTAAAGTGCAATCTGTTTTCCCTTCAAGCTAGTTTTCCTGTTGAAAAACTGCTATAGATTGTATATTCTGCACATACTGTAGAAAAGTCTGTGTTAAGAGTTCTTGGATGTATATAGAGGTGTTAGTTGACCCCAATTAACAAATACCTCTTTACACCACTTAACCGTAAATATATAATGTTGACAGTATTGCCTGGTACGTGTGTTACTGCAAAGCTTATATGATAGCTTCCCTTTTTTATATAAACAAGCTTTGGAGTCTAACGGAGGTACACTATAGCCATTCAACAGCCAGTGGGTATAAAAGACTTGCTTCCACACACCTGCACTCTGAGCGTAATGGTAATGACTTTGGAGGACATGGTAATTCTTCCTACAACAATACCGGCTCTATATTTAGCTGGAGAGGCAGGAGTTGAACTGCAGTTTGAATGCCAGGAGAGCGGACAGGAGACCCCCAGGGCAAATATGAGAGGCGTGCAGTATGTAAAAACTCAGCCTGGGCACTCTTCTGCCCACCCTCCTTTTTTTAACTTTGCAGTTCTTTGTGTATCGATAGCTGATGCTAAAACAATACATATTAACAGGAGGAATTTTTCCTCCAATACGATAAGAATGAAGGCCGTGCAGCAGTCATCGTTCAGGAAGGGGGCAGGAGGGAAAAGTGGGAAAATGTCAGTAATCTGCTTTAGTGAATCAGCAGAGGTTTTAATGCGCGGCTTAGAGTACAGCATTACTGCTGCTGAGCGTTCACAAGCACTAACGCTGCAGCCACAGCTACCACCCCCTCCCTACTCTTTCTCTATCACACGTCTTCTCTTCTGTGTCTCCATCTCTCTGCTCCTGCACTGTCTTCTCCCACTCTCTTTTTCTTGGCCTCTCACCTCCCTTCTTGACTATGCTTCACTCTCATTGCCTTTCTCTACACTCCTCTATCACTTCCCCTCTCACTCTGCATCCATTCTGCCTCTCTCTGTTACTCTCAAACTCTTCCTCTCGCCCCTCTGTGTATCCACCGTCCACCGCTGCTTATATGCTGGAACCTGATTCTGATTACATAACCTGAGACACCAGAGCTAGCTTCAAAGGTTAAATCCAGTTTATTACATCGTCTTACTGAGATAATTGCTGAGATTGTGGAACAGATTGATATTGCGAACAAAATAAGGTGCTGAGGGGGCTGCAGCACCCCCATCTGCGAGGCTCCACTAGCTGTCTGAAACCAGAGCCCAGTCTGCTCTGATTGGTCGGCTGGGAGCTCTGTTGTGATTGGTCAAGCGCCATCTGACAATAAAAGCTTGAGCGTTACAAAATGATGTCATTATGTTACAGAAGTAAGCAAAGTAGTCAAATAGCGGCGAGAGTTTCTCTCCCTTTTTTACAGAGGGAGAGAAACTCCCTCTGGAGGGGAACTTTGAGAGTTTAGCCTTTGCAGACCACATGCACACAAACCTATATAACACACTACAGGAAAGGGAAAACCTCAAAAACCATACTAGTGCCCCTTTAAGGTGTTTTTTCATGATTTGTTGCATTTGTTACTCATATGTTTAATATTTAAAGTAGATTTTGCTGATTATATTTACTTACTTTAACTTAAATACCATTTTAAGTGCAGGATGTGTACAGTGTGGTTTAACTAATTTGAGTTAAATATTTGTAATCTTTTTCCACTCCTGTAATTTAGTCTGACATTGTGTTCCTATTTTGCCTCCGTCATGGTTGGATCTCGCCTTCTAATCTGTCCAATTTTTTGGCAGATTGGCTTTTGTTTTATTCACTGGTGGTGTGTCATTAAAAAGGCACTGCCAATGTTTTCCTACCCAGAGCCTGATTGGATTTCTAAATCCTCATTAGCAGCACTGCCTTCACTCACTGTCTCCTCCACGCATACTCATACACAGTTAAATCTGGATTCCAAATGACTCATAGCTTTCATTCTTTACTCAGGTGCTTGCTTCTTGCCTCCCCTCCTCAGGCTTTAGGGAGAGGGTGAGCAGCACATTCTCGCTTCCTGCTCTGGAGGATTGTGCTCAACCTGCCCACATCCGTCAATGTCTTTCCCTTGCTTCATCCCTCTCTGCCTGCCTTCCTCCACTTTTATTTGTCACCATGCAACCCACATGTTCCTCTCACATATCCAATGCATTGTTCCATACACTGTTTGCGATCCTGTTCAGCTAAGAGGAATTCAGAAGGAAACAGAAAACATGAAATTGTGTTCAAGTAACCAATTACTGTTTGGGAGAAGGGGTTATTTTGTCATTCACACACGACATAAAAGTTGCATTGGTTGTTCCTTGGAGTGTTTCAGTATAACTGACAAAATATGGAGTTTTAAAGGGATATTTTGATGTGTTTCAGGTGGGGTTGTATGATATCTGTTTCCATAGTTACGCCCCTTTTTGGGATAAACCGACAGGAGTTACAACCTCAAAGAAAAGCAATTAACTACTTTTCATGGGGGCAGAAGCAAACAATATGTTTACCAGCAAAAACATGGCCAACCTTGAAAAGTCTATATCACTTCAAGCATACGATATATTTTTTTCAAATATTTTGAACACTTTAAATTTGACAACAACTCTTATTTTAGCTCCCAAAACAAAATTGTTTCTGGTCACTGCTGTTTCCAGCATCTCTTGTGTTCTACAAGGTCAAAATACATATTTTCTTCAATCATTTGTTTTGTCCAGTCTGGTGGCTTTAAAGAGATGATGGATAACACCTTTAGTCACCCATATGAAAGGAAAGCTGGCTGCATGGTAAAGCAGGGGAAATATTCTAGAAATGCTGTTCTTGACACAGATATTCAGTTTTCTTAGATAGATCATTTTTTAGATTAGCTTAATTATTTGACTGCCCTCAGCTGTATACTGCCTTGCTCCGTGTACTTCCTGTCTGTTTCTCCAAACTGGGGGCTTGCCAATCGCCATGTGCTGTATACTAGTGCTGCACGATTCTTACTCAAATGTGAATCACGATTTTCCTCCATAAGAATTGAGATCACGATTCTCACACGATTCTCATCGTTTCAATGAAAATATTTACTTACTCTTAGACGTCACGTGAGTACAATGAATTTAAACAGACAAGATTTGTCTCTCTTGTAACAAAAACATAACTTTGTCTTTAGTCTGTAGTTGCTGAATACTGAACAAACATTACTACATTCAAAATGTGGCACCTGGAGCCAACTATTGTGACTTTAACAGACACCATCAACATCAAAGTGCTTGACTTAAATCCAAGTCTCAGTTTCTTGTAGCAAAAGTATAAAGTAACTAAAATGAATTTGACAGCCAACTACTGTGGCTTTAAACAAAGTGCTTGACTTAAACTCAAGTCTCTCTGGTAACAAAACATACAGTAACAAAAATAAAGATATTGCTGCTGCCTGAGTGCTGAACATAACAAATAGAATTTTTGCAGCTTTATAATAACAAAATGTAAACTTTGCAGTAGCACCTGTCCACAGTGACAGGACACCCAACTGTTTGTTACAGGGAGGAATGCACTTAAGTTACTCAAAATACCTCACCACAGTGCTGAATATAAAAACAAAACATTCACAGCTTTAGAATAATAATATTTAAAAAAGCCTAACCGGCTAGCACCCAGTTCAACTACTGCACTTAAAGGTTCTTGTACTGAAAAAAACATAAACTTAAACAAAGTGCTAGACTCCACTGAGTAGTAATGTCACTGAATCAAAAAGGATTAACTTAAATACTGCAGTCAGTACTGAATATAAAAACGGAACAGAACATAAAGTTACAGCTTCAGAATAAATGTAAATAAAGCCTAGCTGCCTAGCTACTAGCACAGTCCATCTACTTTTTTCGGCACAAGCACAACTTCCCTCTCACTCTCGCCAGAGTCGCCACCGGGATTTTCATCGGTGTTGTTGTCATTGTCCTCGACCTCCTCGTCACTAATTTCTGTTTTTCTTGTACTACTAGTCGCTCTCGTCACTCTTTGCTAATCAGTGCTAATGCTAACGCTTCTGTAAACATACTGCCGGTGTTGTGCCGTAGATTGAAGCCCTGTTCGCGGGGACGCGCAAACGTGACGTCATCGCCTGTATTGATCCCTACTCAACACAAAAAAAAAATGTAATTGTATTTTAAGGTGACATTTAATGCTTTGAAAGGTGCCCTAAAATAAAGTGTATTATTGGTGTCAATAGGGAAGATCTGCACTGTTCTCTACATAACATGTTCAGAGCAGGTATTTCTCCTGCCGGATTTGGAACCCCCCCTATATCTTATATATGCTAGAGCTGCCGGATTTTGAAGCGCCCCCTGTAATTTTGGCCAGGATAGTCACAATGTCACCAAAATCACACTGGTGCTTGCTGTTCCCCTCTAGTAAAATGCTAGGCCCAGAGTAAAATGCTTTGGTGAGCACAAACTAGAGGGGAACAGCAAGCACCAGTGTGATTTTGGTGAGTCTGTGACTATCTAAGGGGCTTCCAAATCCGGCAGAGCAGACTTTCTATCCTGAGGCAGATTTTCTATTTGCTTGCAGTCCAAGTCATTTCTGCGTTTCTGTGTAATATCATAATAATAAAGTTATCCTTTTTCCTGGCAATGATAAATCCCTGTTTTTACAAGTTCAAGTGTTTTGAATTCTTTCAACAGCGCACACGTTCTTTATTACCACATGGACACAAAATAAAGGGACATTCTTTTAACCTCACCCAAACATATTTGTTCACATTTGTGGTATCTTCTCCATTTCTTCACTTTATTGCAATAGGTTTGTAAATTATAAATAATTAGACCAATACAGTATTTTTCGTTTGCAAACACACTAAAATTACACATAAAGCAACATTATTTAAAGTGACACTCAAAAAGCAAAACCTCAGCTCAAGTCTCCAAACATCTAAACACA